ATAAGCAATGCAAATGCAAATGAAGGGGGTGGGGGGTACGAGCAGGGGCAGGGGCAGGGGCAGGGGCAGGGGCGGGGGGGTTCTGAGAGGAAATTAGGAATTACGAAGAGGTGTGGTTACATGAGGGAGGGCGATCCATTTAAGGAAGAGGTCAAGTGCAGTGCTTAGGAGGGCGAACCATTTAAGCGAGAGGTCAAGTGCAGTGCTTCGATCTCGATCGATCGATCGATGCAATAGCAGCAAAGCAAGGGCAGGGGCAGGTGGAATTCCGAAGGTTTTGTGAAGAGGGTTCTGGAGAATTTCGGGGATCCAGCTGACACTTGTCGACAAGTAAGTTTTGAGCTTTACTTTTACTGCTCTAGTGGTAATGTAATTTTGGTGAAAAATGGTTTTGAAGAGGCTTATGCTGTCCGGGGAGGGATCAGTGGCAAGAAGGGATGGCATGGTTATTTCTATATGTTTCTTTTTGTCTTGTGTTAATCATTCAAGAAATTATAGTATGGCACTTTTCTTGGAAAATTTTAGAATCCAATCTTGGAACTTTGGCACATTTCTTGGAAAATTTTAGAATCCAATCTTGGAACTTTGGCACTTTTCTTGGAAAATTTTAGAATCCAATCTTGGAACTTTGGCACTTTTCTTGAATCCAATCTTGGAACTTTGGCACTTTTCTTGGAAAATTTTAGAATCCAATCTTGGAACTTTTCTTGGTTATGATATACCTAATAATGAATGCTTTTGGATTTGACTCTTCACTTAAGCATGTGATTTGTTAGTTATTCTGGATCGATGATGTTGTGTGCTTATTTTGTAGGAGACAAGGGAGTGGCCGGATGATCGGACGACCGTAGGGAATAATTCGTCCCTTTCCTTTTACATTTATGCATTTAATTTAATTTAGCATTTTGCATATAGAAATAGATTTATTTTTACGTCCGTCCCGGGACATGCATGCATTAATTTTGTTTCTATATTTTATACTAACTTATTTTTAAGTGTTTTTAATTTGTAGGCAAAGCTTATGGGGAGACGAGGGAGTGGCCGGATGATCGGACGACCGTAGGGAGTAATTCGTCCCTTTCCTTTTACATTTATGCATTTAATTTAATTTAGCATTTTGCATATAGAAATAGATTTATTTTTACGTCCGTCCCGGGACATGCATGCATTAATTTTGTTTCTATATTTTATACTAACTTATTTTTAAGTGTTTTTAATTTGTAGGCAAAGCTTATGGGGAGACGAGGGAGTGGCCGGATGATCGGACGACCGTAGGGAGTAATTCGTCCCTTTCCTTTTACATTTATGCATTTAATTTAACTTAGCATTTTGCATATAGAAATAGATTTATTTTTACGTCCGTCCCGGGACATGCATGCATTAATTTTGTTTCTATATTTTATACTAACTTATTTTTAAGTGTTTTTAATTTGTAGGCAAAGCTTATGGGGAGACGAGGGAGTGGCCGGATGATCGGACGACCGTAGGGAGTAATTCGTCCCTTTCCTTTTACATTTATGCATTTAATTTAATTTAGCATTTTGCATATAGAAATAGATTTATTTTTACGTCCGTCCCGGGACATGCATGCATTAATTTTGTTTCTATATTTTATACTAACTTATTTTTAAGTGTTTTTAATTTGTAGGCAAAGCTTATGGGGAGACGAGGGAGTGGCCGGATGATCGGACGACCGTAGGGAGTAATTCGTCCCTTTCCTTTTACATTTATGCATTTAATTTAATTTAGCATTTTGCATATAGAAATAGATTTATTTTTACGTCCGTCCCGGGACATGCATGCATTAATTTTGTTTATATATTTTATACAAACTTATTTTTAAGTGTTTTTAATTTGTAGGTAAAGCTTATGGGGAGACGAGGGAGTGGCCGGATGATCGGACGACCGTAGGGAGTAATTCGTCCCTTTCCTTTTACATTTATGCATTTAATTTAATTTAGCATTTTGCATATAGAAATAGATTTATTTTTACGTCCGTCCCGGGACATGCATGCATTAATTTTTTTGTTACTATATTTTATACTAACTTATTTTCAAGTGTTTTTAATTTGTAGGTAAAGCTTATGTGGAGACGAGGGGATCCGCAAAGATCCTTCGATCTCGATTTCAAATCCAAGGTAAGTAATTTTAATATTATTTTTTTGTTTCCTATACATATATACTAATATCTATTTTAAATCCTTTTAGGATCATACGAGAGGGAGCGGCCGGATGATCGGACGACCGAATACATCATAGGGAGTAATCCGTCCCTTTCCTTTTACATTTATGCATTTTATTTAATTTAGCATTATGCATATAGAAATAGATTTATTTTTACGTCGGTCCAGGGACATGCATGCATTAATTTTTTTGTTTCTATATTTTATACTAACTTATTTTCAAGTGTTTTTAATTTGTAGGTAAAGTTTATGTGGAGACGAGGGGATCCGCAAAGATCCTTCGATCTCGATTTCAAATCCAAGGTAAGTGATTTTAATACTATTTTTTTGTTTCCTATACATATATACTAATATCTATTTTAAATCTTTTTAGATGCATACGAGAGGGAGTGGCCGGATGATCGGACGACCGAATACATCATAGGGAGTAATCCGTCCCTTTCCTTTTACATTTATGCATTTTATTCAATTTAGCATTATGCATATAGAAATAGATTTATTTTTACGTCGGTCCCGGGACATGCATGCATTAATTTTTTTGTTTCTATATTTTATACTAACTTATTTTCAAGTGTTTTTAATTTGTAGGTAAAGCTTATGTGGAGACGAGGGGATCCGCAAAGATCCTTCGATCTCGATTTCAAATCCAAGGTAAGTGATTTTAATACTATTTTTTTGTTTCCTATACATATATACTAATATCTATTTTAAATCTTTTTAGATGCATACGAGAGGGAGTGGCCGGATGATCGGACGACCGAATACATCATAGGGAGTAATCCGTCCCTTTCCTTTTACATTTATGCATTTTATTCAATTTAGCATTATGCATATAGAAATAGATTTATTTTTACGTCGGTCCCGGGACATGCATGCATTAATTTTTTTGTTTCTATATTTTATACTAACTTATTTTCAAGTGTTTTTAATTTGTAGGTAAAGCTTATGTGGAGACGAGGGGATCCGCAAAGATCCTTCGATCTCGATTTCAAATCCAAGGTAAGTAATTTTAATATTATTTTTTTGTTTCCTATACATATATACTAATATCTATTTTAAATCCTTTTAGGATCATACGAGAGGGAGCGGCCGGATGATCGGACGACCGAATACATCATAGGGAGTAATTCGTCCCTTTCCTTTTACATTTATGCATTTTATTTAATTTAGCATTATGCATATAGAAATAGATTTATTTTTACGTCGGTCCCGGGACATGCATGCATTAATTTTTTTGTTTCTATATTTTATACTAACTTATTTTCAAGTGTTTTTAATTTGTAGGTAAAGCTTATGTGGAGACGAGGGGATCCGCAAAGATCCTTCGATCTCGATTTCAAATCCAAGGTAAGTGATTTTAATACTATTTTTTTGTTTCCTATACATATATACTAATATCTATTTTAAATCTTTTTAGATGCATACGAGAGGGAGTTGCCGGATGATCGGACGACCGAATACATCATAGGGAGTAATCCGTCCCTTTCCTTTTACATTTATGCATTTTATTCAATTTAGCATTATGCATATAGAAATAGATTTATTTTTACGTCGGTCCCGGGACATGCATGCATTAATTTTTTTGTTTCTATATTTTATACTAACTTATTTTCAAGTGTTTTTAATTTGTAGGTAAAGCTTATGTGGAGACGAGGGGATCCGCAAAGATCCTTCGATCTCGATTTCAAATCCAAGGTAAGTGATTTTAATACTATTTTTTTGTTTCCTATACATATATACTAATATCTATTTTAAATCTTTTTAGATGCATACGAGAGGGAGTGGCCGGATGATCGGACGACCGAATACATCATAGGGAGTAATCCGTCCCTTTCCTTTTACATTTATGCATTTTATTCAATTTAGCATTATGCATATAGAAATAGATTTATTTTTACGTCGGTCCCGGGACATGCATGCATTAATTTTTTTGTTTCTATATTTTATACTAACTTATTTTCAAGTGTTTTTAATTTGTAGGTAAAGCTTATGTGGAGACGAGGGGATCCGCAAAGATCCTTCGATCTCGATTTCAAATCCAAGGTAGGTGATTTTAATACTATTTTTTTGTTTCCTATACATATATACTAATATCTATTTTAAATCTTTTTAGATGCATACGAGAGGGAGTGGCCGGATGATCGGACGACCGAATACATCATAGGGAGTAATCCGTCCCTTTCCTTCTACATTTATGCATTTTATTCAATTTAGCATTATGCATATAGAAATAGATTTATTTTTACGTCGGTCCCGGGACATGCATGCATTAATTTTTTTGTTTCTATATTTTATACTAACTTATTTTCAAGTGTTTTTAATTTGTAGGTAAAGCTTATGTGGAGACGAGGGGATCCGCAAAGATCCTTCGATCTCGATTTCAAATCCAAGGTAAGTGATTTTAATACTATTTTTTTGTTTCCTATACATATATACTAATATCTATTTTAAATCTTTTTAGATGCATACGAGAGGGAGTGGCCGGATGATCGGACGACCGAATACATCATAGGGAGTAATCCGTCCCTTTCCTTTTACATTTATGCATTTTATTCAATTTAGCATTATGCATATAGAAATAGATTTATTTTTACGTCGGTCCCGGGACATGCATGCATTAATTTTTTGTTTCTATATTTTATACTAACTTATTTTCAAGTGTTTTTAATTTGTAGGTAAAGCTTATGTGGAGACGAGGGGATCCGCAAAGATCCTTCGATCTCGATTTCAAATCCAAGGTAAGTGATTTTAATATTATTTTTTTGTTTCCTATACATATATACTAATATCTATTTTAAATCCTTTTAGATCATACGAGAGGGAGTGGCCGGATGATCGGACGACCGAATACATCATAGGGAGTAATCCGTCCCTTTCCTTTTACATTTATGCATTTTATTTAATTTAGCATTATGCATATAGAAATAGATTTATTTTTACGTCGGTCCCGGGACATGCATGCATTAATTTTTTTGTTTCTATATTTTATACTAACTTATTTTCAAGTGTTTTTAATTTGTAGGTAAAGCTTATGTGGAGACGAGGGGATCCGCAAAGATCCTTCGATCTCGATTTCAAATCCAAGGTAAGTGATTTTAATACTATTTTTTTGTTTCCTATACATATATACTAATATCTATTATAAATCTTTTTAGATGCATACGAGAGGGAGTGGCCGGATGATCGGACGACCGAATACATCATAGGGAGTAATCCGTCCCTTTCCTTTTACATTTATGCATTTTATTCAATTTAGCATTATGCATATAGAAATAGATTTATTTTTACGTCGGTCCCGGGACATGCATGCATTAATTTTTTTGTTTCTATATTTTATACTAACTTATTTTCAAGTGTTTTTAATTTGTAGGTAAAGCTTATGTGGAGACGAGGGGATCCGCAAAGATCCTTCGATCTCGATTTCAAATCCAAGGTAGGTGATTTTAATACTATTTTTTTGTTTCCTATACATATATACTAATATCTATTTTAAATCTTTTTAGATGCATACGAGAGGGAGTGGCCGGATGATCGGACGACCGAATACATCATAGGGAGTAATCCGTCCCTTTCCTTTTACATTTATGCATTTTATTCAATTTAGCATTATGCATATAGAAATAGATTTATTTTTACGTCGGTCCCGGGACATGCATGCATTAATTTTTTTGTTTCTATATTTTATACTAACTTATTTTCAAGTGTTTTTAATTTGTAGGTAAAGCTTATGTGGAGACGAGGGGATCCGCAAAGATCCTTCGATCTCGATTTCAAATCCAAGGTAGGTGATTTTAATACTATTTTTTTGTTTCCTATACATATATACTAATATCTATTTTAAATCTTTTTAGATGCATACGAGAGGGAGTGGCCGGATGATCGGACGACCGAATACATCATAGGGAGTAATCCGTCCCTTTCCTTTTACATTTATGCATTTTATTTAATTTAGCATTATGCATATAGAAATAGATTTATTTTTACGTCGGTCCCGGGACATGCATGCATTAATTTTTTTGTTTCTATATTTTATACTAACTTATTTTCAAGTGTTTTTAATTTGTAGGTAAAGCTTATGTGGAGACGAGGGGATCCGCAAAGATCCTTCGATCTCGATTTCAAATCCAAGGTAAGTGATTTTAATACTATTTTTTTGTTTCCTATACACGATCGTTGAAATGATAATTGATACAACAGAAATAGAAACCGATCATCCCTTTCCTCGCAATGCCCGGATACCTGAATTCACATTGTTTTGTTTTCAGGCATATATACTAATATCTATTTTAAATCTTTTTAGATGCATACGAGAGGGAGTGGCCGGATGATCGGACGACCGAATACATCATAGGGAGTAATCCGTCCCTTTCCTTTTACATTTATGCATTTTATTCAATTTAGCATTATGCATATAGAAATAGATTTATTTTTATGTCGGTCCCGGGACATGCATGCATTAATTTTTTTGTTTCTATATTTTATACTAACTTATTTTCAAGTGTTTTTAATTTGTAGGTAAAGCTTATGTGGAGACGAGGGGATCCGCAAAGATCCTTCGATCTCGATTTCAAATCCAAGGTATGTGATTTTAATACTATTTTTTTGTTTCCTATACATATATACTAATATCTATTTTAAATCTTTTTAGATGCATACGAGAGGGAGTGGCCGGATGATCGGACGACCGAATACATCATAGGGAGTAATCCGTCCCTTTCCTTTTACATTTATGCATTTTATTCAATTTAGCATTATGCATATAGAAATAGATTTATTTTTACGTCGGTCCCGGGACATGCATGCATTAATTTTTTTGTTTCTATATTTTATACTAACTTATTTTCAAGTGTTTTTAATTTGTAGGTAAAGCTTATGTGGAGACGAGGGGATCCGCAAAGATCCTTCGATCTCGATTTCAAATCCAAGGTAGGTGATTTTAATACTATTTTTTTGTTTCCTATACATATATACTAATATCTATTTTAAATCTTTTTAGATGCATACGAGAGGGAGTGGCCGGATGATCGGACGACCGAATACATCATAGGGAGTAATCCGTCCCTTTCCTTTTACATTTATGCATTTTATTTAATTTAGCATTATGCATATAGAAATAGATTTATTTTTACGTCGGTCCCGGGACATGCATGCATTAATTTTTTTTGTTTCTATATTTTATACTAACTTATTTTCAAGTGTTTTTAATTTGTAGGTAAAGCTTATGTGGAGACGAGGGGATCCGCAAAGATCCTTCGATCTCGATTTCAAATCCAAGGTAAGTGATTTTAATACTATTTTTTTGTTTCCTATACATATATACTAATATCTATTTTAAATCTTTTTAGATGCATACGAGAGGGAGTGGCCGGATGATCGGACGACCGAATACATCATAGGGAGTAATCCGTCCCTTTCCTTTTACATTTATGCATTTTATTCAATTTAGCATTATGCATATAGAAATAGATTTATTTTTACGTCGGTCCCGGGACATGCATGCATTAATTTTTTTGTTTCTATATTTTATACTAACTTATTTTCAAGTGTTTTTAATTTGTAGGTAAAGCTTATGTGGAGACGAGGGGATCCGCAAAGATCCTTCGATCTCGATTTCAAATCCAAGGTAAGTGATTTTAATATTATTTTTTTGTTTCCTATACATATATACTAATATCTATTTTAAATCTTTTTAGATGCATACGAGAGGGAGCGGCGGATGATCGGACGACCGAATACATCATAGGGAGTAATTCGTCCCTTTCCTTTTACATTTATGCATTTAATTTAATTTGCATTATGCATATAGAATAGATTTATTTTTACGTCGGTCCCGGGACATGCATGCATTAATTTTTTTGTTTCTATATTTTATACTAACTTATTTTCAAGTGTTTTTAATTTGTAGGTAAAGCTTATGTGGAGACGAGGGGATCCGCAAAAATCCTTCGATCTCGATTTCAAATCCAAGGTAAGTGATTTTAATATTATTTTTTTGTTTCCTATACATATATACTAATGTCTATTTTAAATCTTTTTAGATGCATACGAGAGGGAGTGGCCGGATGATCGGACGACCGAATACATCATAGGGAGTAATCCGTCCCTTTCCTTTTACATTTATGCATTTTATTCAATTTAGCATTATGCATATAGAAATAGATTTATTTTTACGTCGGTCCCGGGACATGCATGCATTAATTTTTTTGTTTCTATATTTTATACTAACTTATTTTCAAGTGTTTTTAATTTGTAGGTAAAGCTTATGTGGAGACGAGGGGATCCGCAAAGATCCTTCGATCTCGATTTCAAATCCAAGGTAGGTGATTTTAATACTATTTTTTTGTTTCCTATACATATATACTAATATCTATTTTAAATCTTTTTAGATGCATACGAGAGGGAGTGGCCGGATGATCGGACGACCGAATACATCATAGGGAGTAATCCGTCCCTTTCCTTTTACATTTATGCATTTTATTTAATTTAGCATTATGCATATAGAAATAGATTTATTTTTACGTCGGTCCCGGGACATGCATGCATTAATTTTTTTGTTTCTATATTTTATACTAACTTATTTTCAAGTGTTTTTAATTTGTAGGTAAAGCTTATGTGGAGACGAGGGGATCCGCAAAGATCCTTCGATCTCGATTTCAAATCCAAGGTAAGTGATTTTAATACTATTTTTTTGTTTCCTATACATATATACTAATATCTATTTTAAATCTTTTTAGATGCATACGAGAGGGAGTGGCCGGATGATCGGACGACCGAATACATCATAGGGAGTAATCCGTCCATTTCCTTTTACATTTATGCATTTTATTCAATTTAGCATTATGCATATAGAAATAGATTTATTTTTACGTCGGTCCCGGGACATGCATGCATTAATTTTTTTGTTTCTATATTTTATACTAACTTATTTTCAAGTGTTTTTAATTTGTAGGTAAAGCTTATGTGGAGACGAGGGGATCCGCAAAGATCCTTCGATCTCGATTTCAAATCCAAGGTAAGTGATTTTAATATTGTTTTTTTGTTTCCTATACATATATACTAATATCTATTTTAAATCTTTTTAGATGCATACGAGAGGGAGCGGCGGATGATCGGACGACCGAACACATCATAGGGAGTAATTCGTCCCTATCCTTTTACATTTATGCATTTAATTTAATTTTGCATTATGCATATAGAATAGATTTATTTTTACGTCGGTCCCGGGACATGCATGCATTAATTTTTTTGTTTCTATATTTTATACTAACTTATTTTCAAGTGTTTTTAATTTGTAGGTAAAGCTTATGTGGAGACGAGGGGATCCGCAAAAATCCTTCGATCTCGATTTCAAATCCAAGGTAAGTGATTTTAATATTTTTTTTTTGTTTCCTATACATATATACTAATGTCTATTTTAAATCTTTTTAGATGCATACGAGAGGGAGTGGCCGGATGATCGGATGACCGAAAATATAGAGTAGTTAGTCGTTTTTCTTTAATATTTTCGCATTGCATTTACATTAGCATCTTACATATAATAATAGAATTATGTTTAGGTCCCGGGACTTGGATGTATTAATTTTGTTTCTAAATTTTATCCTTGTTTGTTTTAAAGTGTATTTAGTTTGTAAGTAAAGTTTATGTGGAGTCTACTACTATCAAATCCATATTCGACACGAACAAATAAAGATTTGGGTCTAAAAATTAGTTCCAAACTATTTTTAGGTCAGGCCAACCCAGTATGGTTGAATAACCAAACTTGGTTTGAGGCCTATGCAAATTATGACGTGCCTAGCAGTTTCTAGTTGATTAAAATATTTTAAGAAAAAATAATTTTTAATATAAATTATCTATATAATAAAATTAATAATTAATTAATGTTTAAATTCTTAATTATCAATAAAATACTTTGTCCTAATTATATCAATTTAGATTAATATAATTTATTATTTAATAAAATATGATATATTATTTTTAAAATCTAATATTAAAAATCTGGGTTGGGCTAAGCTTGCCCGGTGTAATTTGAAACCGGGCCATGCCTTGGTTTGGGTTTTCAAGCCCAATGCAAAATCAGGCCGAACCTATCGGACTTGAATTTTAAAACAGCCCAAGCCAGCCCAAAAAATAGTACTCCCTCCCTAGCAAAAAATGCACTAATTTTTTGCGTGATGGGGGGAGTAATACCAGCTTTAAATTGCCACATTTTTTTTTTCAAATATGATATCAACTTTCTCAAATAATAAAAGCAACATACCTTGAAATATGAATCCACCGATATGCTGAAAGTTTTTTTCTTTAAATCCGCCGATATGCTGAAGCTTATTCCAGCAATACCTTTTTATCGAACTGCAATGGTGCACCAGAGAAGTCATTTTCCAATGCTTTTACATATACCTCTTGAAAGTAAGAAATTAAGTAAAAAAAAAAAAAGACAAATCATGTCTACACTGGTTTTTCAAATATCTATTATTATGAAATTGTCCAAAGCATTATTATTACGAAATACAGTTTACCAATTCTCTAAACTAAGACTACTTAGTATCAGCTCGCAAACAATTTGTCCATACCATCTATAACGTGCCAACATAACTCAGGGGAAGAAAAAAAATGCCCGTGAGAAAATTATTAAGCACAACATGACAACTATTTTAAACATTTTAATAAAATTTGACCCATTTGCCTTATGAAAATATGTTCAGCAATTAGTGGACAAAAAATTAATGTTCATACATAGACGCGAATACTAGAAACCATATTACTCTTTTTGTACATTTTTTATTATAAAACTCAAAAGGTAACAAAAAGTACACAACCATTTAAATAACACGTTACAATACTTCAAATACACATTCGACTACGCATACCTGCAATACCCCTGGGTTTATTTGCAATAGTTTTATTTATAAGAGGAAATAAAATTTATTAATTGAGAAGATAAATATTGCATTCAAATTATATAATTTAGATAAAAGAAAATTTATAGTCCTCCTCTCTTTACTTTTTATTTGCAATAGTTTTATAATTGTTTTTTAATTATAAAAGAGAAAAAAAAAGAAGCTATAAAAAAAAAAAAAAATAAAAAAAATCAGAATATTTCACATTAAAAACAATATATAATAAATACTAACCTCCTCTACTAAAAAACTATGGCCATATTTGGGTTGCGCACAAAATTTAAAGAATATTAATATTATATTAATAGTTGGTAAAAAATATAAGTATAAAAAGTAGTAGCATTTGTGTAACAATAATAAAAAAATAATATTAAATTTTGCAGGATTTTACATGCTCGAGAGGTACGTCCGATCACTTGTGATTTCATTAGTATTATAAATATAAAAATATTAATATTTTTAAATTTTAAAAATTTTAAAAAATCATTTCTAAAAATAAATAGAAACAAAACGGTCATATTTTAAAAGTTTTTTTTATCGTAATGATTTCATTAGTATTATAGTAATATATATAATATAAATATTTTTTAATTATAGAGATTTTTTTTAAAAAAAAATTACTTGTAAAAATAAATAGAGACCATAACGGTCATAATAATAAGATTTTAAAAGATCTTATGACTAATGGTTTCCTTAATTGCTAATCACCAACAGACTTGGATTGGGCAAGAAGAAAAAAGAACGAAGGAAAGGTAGACTTGGATGGTTAGAGATTCGACCTGGACTGCTGCTTGCAGCAGCTCCATTTTTGGGTGACACAGTGCGCAAACCATTGGGAGTGCGAGGGGATGATTTCACCTGACAAAAAAAAAAGAGAGAATACTTCAGTAATACAACTCAGAGAGTATGATATCCGAAATTCAGTAAATGTAATTGAGATCACTTGCAATGGGACTCTTATATGCATTACTAACCCCATCAAAGAACCCGATTTTGGGAGAAGGCATTCGTAATCCTGTTGGTTTCCCTAAACCCTGAACAACGCTACTGGATTGCCCTCTGCCTGAAGTAGAAGAATTCGTTAGAGAAGTCTTCGATGGCTGGCACTGCAGGCCTTGGCAACATCCTTCCTGCGCCGACAGCTACTTTTGGGAGTTGCGTTCCTTTACTTGTAGTAGTTAGTGTCAATAAATAATACTAACATTAGGCACAAGACGATTTCTGATTTCATTTAAACACACAAACACACACAAGATGAGTTCCTTGGCAATGATTTCTGATACTTTCAAATCCCCATTGAAGTGAAAACTTAAAACCAAATTTACAAGAATCGAATCAAATGAAAACTTCAGATACTTTCAAATGTACTGCATATCTCATCCCAAACCTAGTTTGGAAGCTTAAACCATTCGACAAGATAAGAACACTAACAATTTCTTAAACATATCCAAAACTTGACTGTGCTAAATGCTAACACTAAATAAACAACAGCTGTAAGAATTTGCACCTTCTAAGGCAATATTATGATTCATTTAGATAACCTACAGGCTCTGCAACCAACTATGGTTAGAGCTAAGAACAACAACTTAGCAGAATTCATTCAATGGATGCAATTTAATCAATAAGAAAGAATTAATCTACCAACTTCAAATCGTGTTACCCAAATTTATAGATAAAGTGAATATTCGGAGCTAAAACCTAATTTGAACAGAGTTAAGGAGCAGAGCAAAACAAAAATTAAGCCAGTCAAATTTCAACCAGGCAAATAAACCAAAATCAACCGACTGAATCATCGAGGAAGATAATCAAAGCATCTACGCCCAAAATGCTACCATACTCACAAGATGATCAGCATAAAGTTGTATTATTAACTGGAACAAGGAGAGCTTCGAATTCATACCTGATCAGAATCGCTGATTCATTCATTCACACAGTCGAATTCATTCCCAGGATCATCCGTGCTCGGAAATGAAATGCCTGAATTCCAGTCACCATAGCATCAGGAAGACCTCTCCTACACCGCTGCTCCATCTCCCGAAAACAACGCCTCCACAGATCCATCCCGGCGGTTCCGAACCCAACCTTTCAACCCTAACTCCTTCGCATTATCAATCGTCCAATTCCGATAGATCCGACGCACCTTGCACTCTCCCCCTTATCACCATTCTCACCTGATTCAAACACCAAATTAGAACGAAACAGAAATCTATTAATGAAATTGAGAAATCGCTTACTGTTTTGACAGAGGCCTCCTCCTGCGGCGAGTTCATCGAGGACATAGTAGAGAATAGAGTGCGTAGACGGTGTCGGAGCAGAGGAGGAGGAGAATGAGGAAGATGAAGACGACGGTACAGCGGAGGAGGAGAATGAGGAAGATGAAGACGACGGTACAGCGGAGGAGGAGAACGAGGAAGAAGAGAAGTATGATGGGGAAGAAGAGGAGGTCGCGCGAATGTCAGGCGGCAGAGCGCATTGGCATTGCTACGCCATTGGAGATGCTTCAGATCTGAAATCGTGGTTTGGAACAATAGCGATTTTGTCGCCATTTCTGTTAAAGTCGCAAATCGGAAGTGTGGAAAAGTGATTGGTAGTGTTGTTTGTGGTTCTGCCAGAGTAACTATGGGTGTGTTTGTTTGGGGTTGAATTTTGAATTGTGTTTAAATAGTTAAGATTTTGAATTTAAATAGTTGTATAATGTGATATAACTAGATATTGATGTGATGTTTTAAATGTAAATATTGATTTTTAGTATAATATAAAAAATAAAAAAATAAATGTTTGATTTGATGTTTTTTGGGAAAAAAATTGAATGAATAGTAAAAATTAAATCCAATTCCCTAAACAAACACACCTTTAAATGAGTTGTTTATTGTATGGGCCTAAACTAAAAATGGGTTCTGGCAGAGTAATTATGTGTTTGTTTGGGGCAATGGATTTTAAATTTACTGTTCATCATATTTTTATTTTTTTCAAAAATATCAAATTAAATACCTATTTTTTATTTTTTATATTATACTAGAAATTAATTTTACATTCAAAACATCAAATCAACACCTATTTATATCGCATCATACAACCATTCAAATTTAAAATTTCTAGTATTCAAATCTCAATTCAAAATCCAAACCTCCAAGCTAAGCACCCTATATCTTTGTCAGTCCAGTAACTTCAGCCCAATAAAATATCTAATAAAATATTGTTACTTTTATTTAATAATATTTATGAAAATTTATTCCATTAAAAAATATTAGATAAACATTATGATATTTTTTTTATTCAAAAATCAGAAAATTTACGAAAAATCAAAATTTGAATATAAAACTTAAGCTCAAAAGATTTTGGCCGAGCCGGGTCTATGCAAATCGAACCGTGCCTAGTGCAATTTTTTTTTTATGCAAATCGAACTGTGCCTAGTTCAATTTTTTTTAAAAAAAAAATTGTTTAAGTATTTTTTAATATATAATAAAATTACAACGTAATTGCACATTTATGGGGTGTATTCAATAGAGATTTTTTTGGATTTTATTGGAGTCTTAAAATTTTGGTGTATTCAATCCAGATTTTAAAAAGATTTTAAAATTTGAATGTATTCAATTCAGATTTTAAAAAGTTTTTTAAAATTTTAATGTATTCAAGAATCCATTAACTTTAAAAATCCATGGATTTTGTTGGATTCTTTAATAAAATTGTTAACAAATCTTGTTATAAAGTGAGATTTCAATGGATTCCCAAAATTAGTAACAATGTACATATTATTTTATTTATAGCATTAATAACTTTATTATTTTATTTTTTTTAAGAGTTAAATTTTAATTTATTTACTATGTAATTTTATTATCCATTATAAAAAAAAATAATATTTATTATTATAAAATATTATATTTATCTATTATATTGGAACTGGGCCAACTCAACACTAATATGGTATTATCTGCTTTGGGCTGAGCCCGCACGGATTTGTTTTTTAATATCCTCCAAAAGACCTCGTACTAGTGGAGTTCACTTGGGGACTTATATTTTTTTCGCAACTTCCAACGTGGGACTTGAGATTGCACCCCAACATATTATTTGAATAAAAAATTAAAATAAGAACACAAAATCAAATTAAAAAAATAAAAAAATCATTATGAAATTATACAATAAGTGTGTTTCTTTAATAATTTTTATAAGTTAAATTGATTCTAATTTAAATTGAAATTAAATATTATTTATAATTTTTATAAAAATATATTATTTTTTAGTGAAAATATTATATTAGAATACTAATTAAATAAAATGAATATTTGTGTAGTATTTACTATTTGTTGTAGATTTTATGTCAGTTATTAATATTTTTAATTTTATTTAGGTAAATTTATTATTATTATTTTTTAAATTATAAAAACAATACTACTTTCTTTAAATAATGTAAGATAAAAAGAATAAAATGAATATTTTGAGTGATATAATATTGGATATAATATTAAAAAAATAAATTAAATAATAGAAAAGAATTAAAATTGATGCTTATTTACGCTTTAAGTATTACATTTATTTTTTGTAAGTATTAGATTTAACATTAAATATATTTTTATATTTGTGTAATTTTTTATACAAATATTATTATACTAGTATAATAAGACACTAATATAAATAATTTTTTTTTTAATTTGTATTACACTTTGATATAATAATTAATATTTACAAATCATATCCAAATGTAAAAAGTAAATATTACAAGGACGGAAGGAGGAAGCATTATTTTTTTTAAGGAAAAAAATAATTTTTGGTCCCAATATAACAAAAATTCATCAATTTTGGTCATAATATAAACATCTTATCAATTTTGGTCCAAATATAACCAAAACTCATCATTTTTTGTCTCAATATAAATTTTTTATCAATTTTAGTCCCAATATAACCAAAATTCATCATTTTTGGTCAAATATAACTAAACCTTATCTTTTTTTGTCCCACCGTTAACAAACCGACGAAAATGCTGACATAGACTTGCAAGATTGTGCAATTTCTTCAAATATAAATATAAGATTTGATTTCTTTTCAAGTTAATATTTTCCGTCGGTTTGTTGATTGTGGGAAAAAAAAAAGGTTTGATTATATTGGGACAAAAAATGATGAGTTTTGGTTATATTGGGACTAAAATTGATACAAAATTTATATTTGGACAAAAAATGATGAGTTTTTGTTATATTGGGACAAAAATGATGAGTTTTTGTATATTGAGACCACAATTAATAAAAATTTTATATTGAGACCAAAATTGATAAAATGTATATTTTTAATTGAGATAAATGAACATAGTAAAAAGAATACTTTAAGGGTGTGTTTGTTTGAGGGTTTGAATTTTGAGTTGGGATTTGAATAGTAAAAATTTTGAATTTGAATAGTTGTATGATGTGATATAAATAGGTGTTGATGTGATGTTTTGAATGTAAAATTGATTTTTAGTATAATATAAAAAATAAAAAATAGGTGTTTGATTTGATATTTTTTGGGAGAAAAAATAGGATGAATAGTGGAAATCCAAACAAATCCCTCAAACAAACACACTGATGCGGACGAGTACAATACATTATTTTAATTCCATAATATTTTTACAATTTTTAGTACTCACTCAGTCCAGCTATGAAGTATACATATTTCTATTTTGGGACGTCCAATGACAAAGTAATAATTTCATTAAATATTTTATTTTTTTTCATAAATACCCTTAATTTACATCACATCATTACTTGTATACAAAATACAAGGGTAAAAATGTCATTATACTACTTTTACCTACCTATTATAATTAAAATACTATTATTTCTTAAATTCCATGCCAAAACTAAATATATACTTATTGTTTAGACGGATGGAGTATTTCATAACAAAAACACTTAAAATTATCAATATTAAACAAATATATTACTAATATATCTTGCAAATTTATAAAGGAAAAGGAAATACAACTAAATGACGGAAGTAATAATAGCCTAAATAAGTTCAAGAAGTAATAATTTTATTATTATAATAATAATTTTTTAAATAATGAAAATAGAAATAGAAATAGAAATACATGCAAACATATATAACAATAGATTGAAAATTGGGGTGGGGCCAAACCCTATTGTGTAATCTCGTTAAAATAAATAATATTTTGAATATATATTCAACGAATATTTTAATTAATAAAAATATATAATAAGAGATATTTTTTTCTTTTGATTTTATGCATTATTTATATTTATCGACAAGATTTTTTTATTTTTTATTTTTTTAAAAAACCCTAAAAATATATATTTTTCTCAGAAAATGTATATATATATATAACTTAACTTTTTACTACAATTTTAAGAATTTGAAAACTTTCAAATTTTTATGAAGAAAAAACTGAGCCAAAACTTTAAAAATTAAAAGTAAATAAAATTATTAATGGTAACAGAATCTCTTATTATTGGGCTCTAAAATTCTTTTAGGATGTATTTGTTCCAAAAAATATCAAATCAAACACCTATTATTCAATTTTTTATATTATATTAAAAATCAATTTTACATTCAAAATATCTCATTAACATCTATTTATATCACATCATACAACTATTCAAATTCAAAATTTTTACTATTCAAATCCAAACTCCCAAACAAGCAAAGATTTAGGTAACTTTTACTAATAGATAAATTATGGATTTCCTTTTGACATATAGTTTAGAAAAAAAAAAAAAGTTTAAAAGATTCAACATATAGTTTAGGAAAAGAAAAAATTTTAAAAATATATACGGACGGTTAGGATTATATCTACAAAACCAACGGCTGATATATCGGAATGAAAATACGTTCCGAACCATTATATAAAGGGTTCGCTCTTTGCTTTTGCCGCTGTACTTTAATTATGTTCTCGAAGATTTTTCTCTACTTGTTTTTCTGCTGCTACAAACTGATACTTCATTCAAAGGTATGGTTTCTTTCTCTTATTTGAATTTTGTTCGATGTTAATTATGGCGCTTTCTGTTATGTTTATTTTGATATATATGTGGTTTTTTGTTTGTGATGTATGCGATGAGTGGTGTTATTTTTGTTTTGGAGGAATTCTAGTTCGTATCGATGTGATATTTAGTTGGAATTTGATTTTTGGTGCGCTTTTGCAATTCTAAAAAAAATAATAATACAAAATACAAAATATTTTACAAAAATCAAAAAGTTAAAAAGAACTTTAAATGCTAATTATACAAGATCAAAAAGTTATAGATATTCAATGGTTTTCTAGTAGTTAGATTTAATAATGCATGGCCATGCAATTGCTATGATTTTTTATTTTATTTTCTTTTTAGTTTATAGTTAATTTTGATAAAATAAAAACTTTAACACTTGTTTGCTAAACTTAATTACATTATATTTTTACCATGGTTAATTACCAATTAAATTTTCAAAAATATTTCTAATTATTTTTTTCTTTTTATAATTTTTCAATAAAATATATTAAGTAACTTTTTAAAAAAAAAAAAAAAAATTGTATCGAATTCAAATGGACTATGTAATTTAAAAAATTATTAAAAACATTTAATTTAATATCTTCAAATCGCAAGACAATTTTGTTGGTAAATCTCCAAGGAGAGGAGAGGAGCATAGAGCTACTTGTAGGCGTTCGACACGTGTCCCCTCCCATTAACTTAAGAATTAGTGGTTAGTTTCCTTTGCAACTAACGCCAACTGCTAACAAAAGCATCATTTTGTAAACACTTGTACTTTTTAAAATAAGTAAAAAAGTGATATAACTACTATGTATTATTTAATTTATGTTTTATGCTATATTTTATATATACATTTTTTAAACAAAATTACTTGTCAATACTATCAAAATTTTAAAATATATTTACATAAACAGAGCAATAAAACTTATATAATATTTAATGTGCGGTAGCCAAATAAATATTATAATTACTTTCTTAATATAATTATAAAATTATTTTACAATTTATATTGATTAAAAAAAATAAAATTGATTCGTTCTAGCGAAGAAAATCGTCGAACCGGCGCTTCCCGACGAGCTCACCGATTCGTATCGTGAATTCGAAAAACGGGTCGACGAGTATGTCGCGTCGGAGACTGTATCGATGCTCACTCTTCTACCCGACAAAAGCCCCGATCGTGGTTACGTCACGGAAATTCTCACGCCCGTGAACAACATATCGAAGCGTCTCCACCGATACTGATTAATGAACGCGAAAGGATACGCGCGAACGTGCTACATACTAATCCTACTCGACGACGATCAAATCGTCGACTGGTTTGTCGGGATCGTGCGGCGGTGGGTGAGGTGGTTCTTCGACTGCGACAATTTCGCCGAAGTGAAGCGGGCAATATCGACCCAGGTGCGGATGTCGTGCATACGAACGTTAGCGTCGAAGTACCGAATCCACGAAACGGAGATCGCCAAGAAGTTCGACGAGGAGCTGAGCAGGATCCCATTGTCGTCGACGGACGAGATCGAGCTCGAGGATCTTTATTCGGACATGGTTTCGAGCGAAAAACGAGCTCGACGGCGCGTCGATGTACGGGGTTAGCGACAGCGGGGTGACCCAGGTCGATATCGGCACTTAATTTTTAATATGGTTTTCGATTTATATTAAAAAAATATAATATATATAGTTTTGTACAAAATATATAATATATAATTTATACACTAAAAAATATAATAGTTTAACATAAAATATTATTTCCTCAATCCCACTTAATTTGTCCACTTTTTCTATATCTGTCCGTCCCATATAAATTATCTCTTTTCTGTTTTGGAAATATAATTATATACTTTAATCATATTTTAAAATTCATAATTTATAAAAAAAAAATTTAATTAACTATTCAGTTATTTTAATCTATAATTATTTTTATTATACCATAATTATTTTACTAATATATTTCTTAATTACTTACTAATTACATCATAACTAAAACTTCGTGTCCCAACTAAAATTGACAAATTAGTTGGGTAATTTTTTTTTTACACTACTTTAAACTAAAAATACAAAGTTAATACACCAGTAAAATAAATTTTAAATTATTAATCTATTTAAAATATCATTAGTAATATAATAAAATTAATTATTATAAATAAATATATGTAATTGTAGCATTATATTCAAATAAAATATTATATTTTTATAGAAGCAATAAAATATAATTTAAATATAAAAATATATATACATATAATATTAAAAAAATTATTTTAATTTTTATTAGATTAGATAGGAGGAGGGTATTATATATGGTAAGTTTTTAAATTAGGTAAGTAGCCGTTAAGTATAATAATTTTGATTTTGAATTTGATTTTAATTTTAATATACACATAATATTAAAATGTGAAATTATATATGGTAAGTGTTTTATATTAGGTAAGTAGCCGTTAAGTATAATGATTTTGAATTTGAATTTGATTTTAATTTTAATATACACATAGTATTAAAATGTGAAATTATATATGGTAATAATTTTATATTAGGTAAGTAGCCGTTAAGTATAATAATTTTGAATTTGAATTTAATTTTAATTTTAATATACACATAATATTAAAATGTGAAATTATATATGGTAACTTTTTATATTAGGAAAGTAGCCGTTAGGTATAATGATTTTGAATTTGAATTTGATTTTAATTTTAATATACACATAATATTAAAATGTGAAATTATATATGGTAACTTTTTATATTAGGAAAGTAGCCGTTAGATATAATGATTTTGAATTTGAATTTGAATTTGATTTTAATTTTAATATACACATAATATTAAAATATAAAATTATATATGGTAAGTGTTTTATATTAGGAAAGTAGCCGTTAAAACATATATTATAAATACTCTTGATTTTGATTTTGATATTGTATACATTATTATAAGCAATGCAAATGCAAATGAAGGGGGTGGGGGGTACGAGCAGGGGCAGGGGCAGGGGCAGGGGCAGGGGCGGGGGGGTTCTGAGAGGAAATTAGGAATTACGAAGAGGTGTGGTTACATGAGGGAGGGCGATCCATTTAAGGAAGAGGTCAAGTGCAGTGCTTAGGAGGGCGAACCATTTAAGCGAGAGGTCAAGTGCAGTGCTTCGATCTCGATCGATCGATCGATGCAATAGCAGCAAAGCAAGGGCAGGGGCAGGTGGAATTCCGAAGGTTTTGTGAAGAGGGTTCTGGAGAATTTCGGGGATCCAGCTGACACTTGTCGACAAGTAAGTTTTGAGCTTTACTTTTACTGCTCTAGTGGTAATGTAATTTTGGTGAAAAATGGTTTTGAAGAGGCTTATGCTGTCCGGGGAGGGATCAGTGGCAAGAAGGGATGGCATGGTTATTTCTATATGTTTCTTTTTGTCTTGTGTTAATCATTCAAGAAATTATAGTATGGCACTTTTCTTGGAAAATTTTAGAATCCAATCTTGGAACTTTGGCACATTTCTTGGAAAATTTTAGAATCCAATCTTGGAACTTTGGCACTTTTCTTGGAAAATTTTAGAATCCAATCTTGGAACTTTGGCACTTTTCTTGAATCCAATCTTGGAACTTTGGCACTTTTCTTGGAAAATTTTAGAATCCAATCTTGGAACTTTTCTTGGTTATGATATACCTAATAATGAATGCTTTTGGATTTGACTCTTCACTTAAGCATGTGATTTGTTAGTTATTCTGGATCGATGATGTTGTGTGCTTATTTTGTAGGAGACAAGGGAGTGGCCGGATGATCGGACGACCGTAGGGAGTAATTCGTCCCTTTCCTTTTACATTTATGCATTTAATTTAATTTAGCATTTTGCATATAGAAATAGATTTATTTTTACGTCCGTCCCGGGACATGCATGCATTAATTTTGTTTCTATATTTTATACTAACTTATTTTTAAGTGTTTTTAATTTGTAGGCAAAGCTTATGGGGAGACGAGGGAGTGGCCGGATGATCGGACGACCGTAGGGAGTAATTCGTCCCTTTCCTTTTACATTTATGCATTTAATTTAATTTAGCATTTTGCATATAGAAATAGATTTATTTTTACGTCCGTCCCGGGACATGCATGCATTAATTTTGTTTCTATATTTTATACTAACTTATTTTTAAGTGTTTTTAATTTGTAGGCAAAGCTTATGGGGAGACGAGGGAGTGGCCGGATGATCGGACGACCGTAGGGAGTAATTCGTCCCTTTCCTTTTACATTTATGCATTTAATTTAACTTAGCATTTTGCATATAGAAATAGATTTATTTTTACGTCCGTCCCGGGACATGCATGCATTAATTTTGTTTCTATATTTTATACTAACTTATTTTTAAGTGTTTTTAATTTGTAGGCAAAGCTTATGGGGAGACGAGGGAGTGGCCGGATGATCGGACGACCGTAGGGAGTAATTCGTCCCTTTCCTTTTACATTTATGCATTTAATTTAATTTAGCATTTTGCATATAGAAATAGATTTATTTTTACGTCCGTCCCGGGACATGCATGCATTAATTTTGTTTCTATATTTTATACTAACTTATTTTTAAGTGTTTTTAATTTGTAGGCAAAGCTTATGGGGAGACGAGGGAGTGGCCGGATGATCGGACGACCGTAGGGAGTAATTCGTCCCTTTCCTTTTACATTTATGCATTTAATTTAATTTAGCATTTTGCATATAGAAATAGATTTATTTTTACGTCCGTCCCGGGACATGCATGCATTAATTTTGTTTATATATTTTATACTAACTTATTTTTAAGTGTTTTTAATTTGTAGGTAAAGCTTATGGGGAGACGAGGGAGTGGCCGGATGATCGGACGACCGTAGGGAGTAATTCGTCCCTTTCCTTTTACATTTATGCATTTAATTTAATTTAGCATTTTGCATATAGAAATAGATTTATTTTTACGTCCGTCCCGGGACATGCATGCATTAATTTTTTTGTTACTATATTTTATACTAACTTATTTTCAAGTGTTTTTAATTTGTAGGTAAAGCTTATGTGGAGACGAGGGGATCCGCAAAGATCCTTCGATCTCGATTTCAAATCCAAGGTAAGTAATTTTAATATTATTTTTTTGTTTCCTATACATATATACTAATATCTATTTTAAATCCTTTTAGGATCATACGAGAGGGAGCGGCCGGATGATCGGACGACCGAATACATCATAGGGAGTAATCCGTCCCTTTCCTTTTACATTTATGCATTTTATTTAATTTAGCATTATGCATATAGAAATAGATTTATTTTTACGTCGGTCCCGGGACATGCATGCATTAATTTTTTTGTTTCTATATTTTATACTAACTTATTTTCAAGTGTTTTTAATTTGTAGGTAAAGTTTATGTGGAGACGAGGGGATCCGCAAAGATCCTTCGATCTCGATTTCAAATCCAAGGTAAGTGATTTTAATACTATTTTTTTGTTTCCTATACATATATACTAATATCTATTTTAAATCTTTTTAGATGCATACGAGAGGGAGTGGCCGGATGATCGGACGACCGAATACATCATAGGGAGTAATCCGTCCCTTTCCTTTTACATTTATGCATTTTATTCAATTTAGCATTATGCATATAGAAATAGATTTATTTTTACATCGGTCCCGGGACATGCATGCATTAATTTTTTTGTTTCTATATTTTATACTAACTTATTTTCAAGTGTTTTTAATTTGTAGGTAAAGCTTATGTGGAGACGAGGGGATCCGCAAAGATCCTTCGATCTCGATTTCAAATCCAAGGTAAGTGATTTTAATACTATTTTTTTGTTTCCTATACACGATCGTTGAAATGATAATTGATACAACAGAATAGAAACCGATCATCCCTTTCCTCGCAATGCCCGGATACCTGAATTCACATTGTTTTGTTTTCAGGCATATATACTAATATCTATTTTAAATCTTTTTAGATGCATACGAGAGGGAGTGGCCGGATGATCGGACGACCGAATACATCATAGGGAGTAATCCGTCCCTTTCCTTTTACATTTATGCATTTTATTCAATTTAGCATTATGCATATAGAAATAGATTTATTTTTACGTCGGTCCCGGGACATGCATGCATTAACTTTTTTGTTTCTATATTTTATACTAACTTATTTTCAAGTGTTTTTAATTTGTAGGTAAAGCTTATGTGGAGACGAGGGGATCCGCAAAGATCCTTCGATCTCGATTTCAAATCCAAGGTAAGTAATTTTAATATTATTTTTTTGTTTCCTATACATATACACTAATATCTATTTTAAATCCTTTTAGGATCATACGAGAGGGAGCGGCCGGATGATCGGACGACCGAATACATCATAGGGAGTAATCCGTCCCTTTCCTTTTACATTTATGCATTTTATTTAATTTAGCATTATGCATATAGAAATAGATTTATTTTTACGTCGGTCCCGGGACATGCATGCATTAATTTTTTTGTTTCTATATTTTATACTAACTTATTTTCAAGTGTTTTTAATTTGTAGGTAAAGCTTATGTGGAGACGAGGGGATCCGCAAAGATCCTTCGATCTCGATTTCAAATCCAAGGTAAGTGATTTTAATACTATTTTTTTGTTTCCTATACATATATACTAATATCTATTATAAATCTTTTTAGATGCATACGAGAGGGAGTGGCCGGATGATCGGACGACCGAATACATCATAGGGAGTAATCCGTCCCTTTCCTTTTACATTTATGCATTTTATTCAATTTAGCATTATGCATATAGAAATAGATTCATTTTTACGTCGGTCCCGGGACATGCATGCATTAATTTTTTTGTTTCTATATTTTATACTAACTTATTTTCAAGTGTTTTTAATTTGTAGGTAAAGCTTATGTGGAGACGAGGGGATCCGCAAAGATCCTTCGATCTCGATCTCAAATCCAAGGTAGGTGATTTTAATACTATTTTTTTGTTTCCTATACATATATACTAATATCTATTTTAAATCTTTTTAGATGCATACGAGAGGGAGTGGCCGGATGATCGGACGACCGAATACATCATAGGGAGTAATCCGTCCCTTTCCTTTTACATTTATGCATTTTATTCAATTTAGCATTATGCATATATAAATAGATTTATTTTTACGTCGGTCCCGGGACATGCATGCATTAATTTTTTTGTTTCTATATTTTATACTAACTTATTTTCAAGTGTTTTTAATTTGTAGGTAAAGCTTATGTGGAGACGAGGGGATCCGCAAAGATCCTTCGATCTCGATTTCAAATCCAAGGTAGGTGATTTTAATACTATTTTTTTGTTTCCTATACATATATACTAATATCTATTTTAAATCTTTTTAGATGCATACGAGAGGGAGTGGCCGGATGATCGGACGACCGAATACATCATAGGGAGTAATCCGTCCCTTTCCTTTTACATTTATGCATTTTATTTAATTTAGCATTATGCATATAGAAATAGATTTATTTTTACGTCGGTCCCGGGACATGCATGCATTAATTTTTTTGATTCTATATTTTATACTAACTTATTTTCAAGTGTTTTTAATTTGTAGGTAAAGCTTATGTGGAGACGAGGGGATCCGCAAAGATCCTTCGATCTCGATTTCAAATCCAAGGTAAGTGATTTTAATACTATTTTTTTGTTTCCTATACCGATCGTTGAAATGATAATTGATACAACATAAATAGAAACCGATCATCCTTTTATATACCTGAATTCACATTGTTTTTTTCAGGCATATATACTAATATCTATTTTAAATCTTTTTAGATGCATACGAGAGGGAGTGGCCGGATGATCGGACGACCGAATACATCATAGGGAGTAATCCGTCCCTTTCCTTTTACATTTATGCATTTTATTCAATTTAGCATTATGCATATAGAAATAGATTTATTTTTACGTCGGTCCCGGGACATGCATGCATTAATTTTTTTGTTTCTATATTTTATACTAACTTATTTTCAAGTGTTTTTAATTTGTAGGTAAAGCATATGTGGAGACGAGGGGATCCGCAAAGATCCTTCGATCTCGATTTCAAATCCAAGGTAAGTGATTTTAATATTATTTTTTTGTTTCATATACATATATACTAATATCTATTTTAAATCTTTTTAGATGCATACGAGAGGGAGTGGCCGGATGATCGGACGACCGAATACATCATAGGGAGTAATCCGTCCCTTTCCTTTTACATTTATGCATTTTATTTAATTTAGCATTATGCATATAGAAATAGATTTATTTTTACGTCGGTCCCGGGACATGCATGCATTAATTTTTTGTTTCTATATTTTATACTAACTTATTTTCAAGTGTTTTTAATTTGTAGGTAAAGCTTATGTGGAGACGAGGGGATCCGCAAAGATCCTTCGATCTCGATTTCAAATCCAAGGTAGGTGATTTTAATACAATTTTTTTGTTTCCTATACATATATACTAATATCTATTTTAAATCTTTTTAGATGCATACGAGAGGGAGTGGCCGGATGATCGGACGACCGAATACATCATAGGGAGTAATCCGTCCCTTTCCTTTTACATTTATGCATTTTATTCAATTTAGCATTATGCATATAGAAATAGATTTATTTTTACGTCGGTCCCGGGACATGCATGCATTAATTTTTTTGTTTCTATATTTTATACTAACTTATTTTCAAGTGTTTTTAATTTGTAGGTAAAGCTTATGTGGAGACGAGGGGATCCGCAAAGATCCTTCGATCTCGATTTCAAATCCAAGGTAAGTGATTTTAATACTATTTTTTTGTTTCCTATACATATATACTAATATCTATTTTAAATCTTTTTAGATGCATACGAGAGGGAGTGGCCGGATGATCGGACGACCGAATACATCATAGGGAGTAATCCGTCCCTTTCCTTTTACATTTATGCATTTTATTCAATTTAGCATTATGCATATAGAAATAGATTTATTTTTACGTCGGTCCCGGGACATGCATGCATTAATTTTTTTGTTTCTATATTTTATACTAACTTATTTTCAAGTGTTTTTAATTTGTAGGTAAAGCTTATGTGGAGACGAGGGGATCCGCAAAGATCCTTCAATCTCGATTTCAAATCCAAGGTAAGTGATTTTAATATTATTTTTTTGTTTCCTATACATATATACTAATATCTATTTTAAATCTTTTTAGATGCATACGAGAGGGAGTGGCCGGATGATCGGACGACCGAATACATCCTAGGGAGTAATCCGTCCCTTTCCTTTTACATTTATGCATTTTATTCAATTTAGCATTATGCATATAGAAATAGATTTATTTTTACGTCGGTCCCGGGACATGCATGCATTAATTTTTTTGTTTCTATATTTTATACTAACTTATTTTCAAGTGTTTTTAATTTGTAGGTAAAGCTTATGTGGAGACGAGGGGATCCGCAAAGATCCTTCGATCTCGATTTCAAATCCAAGGTAGGTGATTTTAATACTAATTTTTTGTTTCCTATACATATATACTAATATCTATTTTAAATCTTTTTAGATGCATACGAGAGGGAGTGGCCGGATGATCGGACGACCGAATACATCATAGGGAGTAATTCGTCCCTTTCCTTTTACATTTATGCATTTAATTTAATTTAGCATTTTGCATATAGAAATAGATTTATTTTTACGTCCGTCCCGGGACATGCATGCATTAATTTTGTTTCTATATTTTATACTAACTTATTTTTAAGTGTTTTTAATTTGTAGGCAAAGCTTATGGGGAGACGAGGGAGTGGCCGGATGATCGGACGACCGTAGGGAGTAATTCGTCCCTTTCCTTTTACATTTATGCATTTAATTTAATTTAGCATTTTGCATATAGAAATAGATTTATTTTTACGTCCGTCCCGGGACATGCATGCATTAATTTTGTTTATATATTTTATACTAACTTATTTTTAAGTGTTTTTAATTTGTAGGTAAAGCTTATGGGGAGACGAGGGAGTGGCCAGATGATCGGACGACCGTAGGGAGTAATTCGTCCCTTTCCTTTTACATTTATGCATTTAATTTAATTTAGCATTTTGCATATAGAAATAGATTTATTTTTACGTCGTCCCGGGACATGCATGCATTAATTTTGTTTCTATATTTTATACTAACTTATTTTCAAGTGTTTTTAATTTGTAGGTAAAGCTTATGTGGAGACGAGGGGATGCGCAAAGATCCTTCGTTCTCGATTTCAAATCCAAGGTAAGTGATTTTAATATTTTTTTGTTTCCATAACGTATATACTAATGTCTATTTGAAATATTTTTAGATGCACACGAGAGGGAGCGGCCGGACGACCGGACGACCGAACACATCATAGGGAGGAATTCGTCCCTATCCTTTTACATATATGCATTTAATTTAATTTAGCATTATGCATTTAGAAATAGATTTATTTTTACGTCGGTCCCGGGACATGCATGCATTAATTTTGTTTCTATATTTTATACTAACTTATTTTCAAGTGTTTTTAATTTGTAGGTAAAGCTTATGTGGAGACGAGGGGATCTGCAAAGATCCTTCGATCTCGATTTCAAATCCAAGGTAAGTGATTTTAATATGTTTTTTTTGTTTCCTATACATATATACTAATATCTATTTTAAATCTTTTTAGATGCATACGAGAGGGAGCGGCCGGACGACCGAACACATCATAGGGAGTAATTCGTCCCTATCCTTTTATATTTATGCATTTAATTTAATTTAGCATTATGCATATAGAAATAGATTTATTTTTACGTCGGTCCCGGGACATGCATGCATTAATTTTTTTTGATTCTATATTTTATACTAACTTATTTTCAAGTGTTTTTAATTTGTAGGTAAAGCTTATGTGGAGACGAGGGGATCCGCAAAGATCCTTCGATCTCGATTTCAAATCCAAGGTAAGTGATTTTAATACTATTTTTTGTTTCCTATACATATATACTAATATCTATTTTAAATCTTTTTAGATGCATACGAGAGGGAGTGGCCGGATGATCGGACGACCGAATACATCATAGGGAGTAATCCGTCCCTTTCCTTTTACATTTATGCATTTTTTCAATTTAGCATTATGCATATAGAAATAGATTTATTTTTACGTCGGTCCCGGGACATGCATGCATTAATTTTTTTGTTTCTATATTTTATACTAACTTATTTTCAAGTGTTTTTAATTTGTAGGTAAAGCTTATGTGGAGACGAGGGGATCCGCAAAGATCCTTCAATCTCGATTTCAAATCCAAGGTAAGTGATTTTAATATTATTTTTTTGTTTCCTATACATATATACTAATATCTATTTTAAATCTTTTTAGATGCATACGAGAGGGAGTGGCCGGATGATCGGACGACCGAATACATCATAGGGAGTAATCCGTCCCTTTCCTTTTACATTTATGCATTTTATTCAATTTAGCATTATGCATATAGAAATAGATTTATTTTTACGTCGGTCCCGGGACATGCATGCATTAATTTTTTTTGTTTCTATATTTTATACTAACTTATTTTCAAGTGTTTTTAATTTGTAGGTAAAGCATATGTGGAGACGAGGGGATCCGCAAAGATCCTTCGATCTCGATTTCAAATCCAAGGTAAGTGATTTTAATATTATTTTTTGTTTCATATACATATATACTAATATCTATTTTAAATCTTTTTAGATGCATACGAGAGGGAGTGGCCGGATGATCGGACGACCGAATACATCATAGGGAGTAATCCTCCCTTTCCTTTTACATTTATGCATTTTATTTAATTTAGCATTATGCATATAGAAATAGATTTATTTTTACGTCGGTCCCGGGACATGCATGCATTAATTTTTTTGTTTCTATATTTTATACTAACTTATTTTCAAGTGTTTTTAATTTGTAGGTAAAGCTTATGTGGAGACGAGGGGATCCGCAAAGATCCTTCGATCTCGATTTCAAATCCAAGGTAGGTGATTTTAATACAATTTTTTGTTTCCTATACATATATACTAATATCTATTTTAAATCTTTTTAGATGCATACGAGAGGGAGTGGCCGGATGATCGGACGACCGAATACATCATAGGGAGTAATCCGTCCCTTTCCTTTTACATTTATGCATTTTATTTAATTTAGCATTATGCATATAGAAATAGATTTATTTTTACGTCGGTCCCGGGACATGCATGCATTAATTTTTTTGTTTCTATATTTTATACTAACTTATTTTCAAGTGTTTTTAATTTGTAGGTAAAGCTTATGTGGAGACGAGGGGATCCGCAAAGATCCTTCAATCTCGATTTCAAATCCAAGGTAAGTGATTTTAATATTATTTTTTGTTTCCTATACATATATACTAATATCTATTTTAAATCTTTTTAGATGCATACGAGAGGGAGTGGCCGGATGATCGGACGACCGAATACATCATAGGGAGTAATCCGTCTCTTTCCTTTTACATTTATGCATTTTATTCAATTTAGCATTATGCATATAGAAATAGATTTATTTTACGTCGGTCCCGGGACATGCATGCATTAATTTTTTTGTTTCTATATTTTATACTAACTTATTTTCAAGTGTTTTTAATTTGTAGGTAAAGCTTATGTGGAGACGAGGGGATCCGCAAAGATCCTTCAATCTCGATTGCAAATCCAAGGTAAGTGATTTTAATATTATTTTTTTGTTTCCTATACATATATACTAATATCTATTTTAAATCTTTTTAGATGCATACGAGAGGGAGTGGCCGGATGATCGGACGACCGAATACATCTAGGGAGTAATCCGTCCCTTTCCTTTTACATTTATGCATTTTATTCAATTTAGCATTATGCATATAGAAATAGATTTATTTTTACGTCGGTCCCGGGACATGCATGCATTAATTTTTTTGTTCTATATTTTATACTAACTTATTTTCAAGTGTTTTTAATTTGTAGGTAAAGCTTATGTGGAGACGAGGGGATCCGCAAAGATCCTCGATCTCGATTTCAAATCGAAGGTAGGTGATTTTAATACTAATTTTTTGTTTCCTATACATATATACTAATATCTATTTTAAATCTTTTTAGATGCATACGAGAGGGAGTGGCCGGATGATCGGACGACCGAATACATCATAGGGAGTAATTCTTCCCTTTCCTTTTACATTTATGGCATTTAATTTAATTTAGCATTTTGCATATAGAATAGATTTATTTTTACGTCCGTCCCGGGACATGCATGCATTAATTTTGTTTTATATTTTATACTAACTTATTTTTAAGTGTTTTTAATTTGTAGGCAAAGCTTATGGGGAGACGAGGGAGTGGCCGGATGATCGGACGACACCGTAGGGAGTAATTCGTCCCTTTCCTTTTACATTTATGCATTTAATTTAATTTAGCATTTTGCATATAGAAATAGATTTATTTTTAACGTTCCGTCCCGGGACATGCATGCATTAATTTTGTTTATATATTTTATACTAACTTATTTTTAAGTGTTTTTAATTTGTAGGTAAAGCTTATGGGGAGACGAGGGAGTGGCCAGATGATCGGACGACCGTAGGGAGTAATTCGTCCCTTTCTTTTTACATTTATGCATTTAATTTAATTTAGCATTTTGCATATAGAAATAGATTTATTTTTACGTCCGTCCCGGGACATGCATGCATTAATTTTGTTTCTATATTTTATACTAACTTATTTTCAAGTGTTTTTAATTTGTAGGTAAAGCTTATGTGGAGACGAGGGGATGCGCAAAGATCCTTCGTTCTCGATTTCAAATCCAAGGTAAGTGATTTTAATATTTTTTTTGTTTCCATAACGTATATACTAATGTCTATTTGAAATATTTTTAGATGCACACGAGAGGGAGCGGCCGGACGACCGGACGACCGAACACATCATAGGGAGGAATTCGTCCCTATCCTTTTACATATATGCATTTAATTTAATTTAGCATTATGCATTTAGAAATAGATTTATTTTTACGTCGGTCCCGGGACATGCATGCATTAATTTTGTTTCTATATTTTATACTAACTTATTTTCAAGTGTTTTTAATTTGTAGGTAAAGCTTATGTGGAGACGAGGGGATCTGCAAAGATCCTTCGATCTCGATTTCAAATCCAAGGTAAGTGATTTTAATATTGTTTTTTTGTTTCCTATACATATATACTAATATCTATTTTAAATCTTTTTAGATGCATACGAGAGGGAGCGGCCGGACGACCGAACACATCATAGGGAGTAATTCGTCCCTATCCTTTTATATTTATGCATTTAATTTAATTTAGCATTATGCATATAGAAATAGATTTATTTTTACGTCGGTCCCGGGACATGCATGCATTAATTTTTTTTGATTCTATATTTTATACTAACTTATTTTCAAGTGTTTTTAATTTGTAGGTAAAGCTTATGTGGAGACGAGGGGATCCGCAAAGATCCTTCGATCTCGATTTCAAATCCAAGGTAAGTGATTTTAATACTATTTTTTTGTTTCCTATACATATATTCTAATATCTATTTTAAATCTTTTTAGATGCATACGAGAGGGAGCTGCCGGACGACCGAACACATCATAGAGAGTAAATCGTCCCTATCATTTTACATTTATGCATTTAATTTAATTTAGCATTATGCATATAGAAATAGATTTATTTTTACGTCCCGGGACTTACATTAATTAAATATTTTTTTAATTCTTAATTATCAAATAACATCGTTTTCTAATTATATCAACTTAGACTATTATAACTTATCTTCTAATAAAAAAACACAAAATTAAGTAAAACTTAATATTAAAATTGTGGGCTGGTCTGGCCCGGTATACTTAGAAACCGGGTCATGCCTTGGTTTGGGTTTTCAAACCCAATCCATAATCAGGCCGGGCTTATCGGGCTTCAATTTTAAAACAACCCGAGATAAACCAAAAAAATATTACTCTCTCTTTCACGCAAAAAATGCACTAATTTTTTGCGTGTCGGAATGAGTAACATCAGCCTAAAATTGCCACATTTTTTTTTTTTTGCTAAATATTATGTCAACTTTCTCAAATTATGGAAGCAACATACCTTAAAATTTGAATCCACCGATATGCTGAAGCTTTTTCCTTTAAATCCGTTGATATGTTGAAGCTTTTTCCAATAATACCTTTGTATCGAATTGCAATAGTGCTGCACTGGAGAAACAATTTCTCAATGCTTCCACATATAACTCCTAGAAGTAAGAGATTAATTAAAAAAAATAAAAATCATGCTTACACTGGTCTTTCCTATAACTGTTATTATTATGAAATTTCTCAAAGCATTATTATTACAAAATACAATTTATCAAATTCTCTAAACTAAGACTATTTAGTACCAACTCACAAACAATTTGTTCATACCATCTTTAATGTGCCAACATAGCATAATTCAGATGGAAGAAACAAATGTCCGTTAGAAAATTATTAAGCAGAATATTACAACTATTTTAATCGTTATAAATAAAATTAGACCTGTCTGCCTTGTGGAAATATGTTCAACAACTAGTGGACAACAAATTAATGTTCACACATATACATACACATGAATACTGGAATTTTAAAGTTGTAACTATATTGCAAGCCTATATAGGTAGTGCCCATATTCAACTAGAATGTTGTTACCTGAATTACAAATGACAACTGTTCTTGTGGCTTTTATGTTCAGATCCATGATCAAAAGCTGCCAACCGCTCTGTAAATATGGACTCAACTGTAGATGATAAAAAAAAACATATACAAATTAGGATAGGTATTACCTCATACATACGATATGTGTGTCCTGTATAAATTTCTCTATTCATTCTACATAAACACTCAACAAATTCACTATTTAATAGTAGTCAAACTAGGACACACGTGAGTATTCTGTTAGTAATACCTCGTAAGCAATTCCTCACAAGAAAATTCCATAAATAAATTTATAAGTAAATTACTAGTGACATCAATCACGAAATTTTATCCGTGACTAATTTGCACACGTAATTATATTTATTCTACAATTTCTTACTAAACTATGCACAATAATTTAAATTTGTTTCTAACTTTCTATAAACTAATGGATATATAGGATCAAGCAAAAACCGTGGCATGATAAATTGACATTTTAAGGTGCAGATGTTTGAAAAAATTACACCACATGAAGTGAAAGACTCTGATCTTTGATGCAATTAACTATAAATTTCAACTCTATAAAAGTGTAGTGCACATAGTAAAACATAAATTTATCAATCGAAAAGAAATGTTATCTGTTTTCATTTAACATGATGGAAATTACAAACCCAAAGCATATTTGATGCCTACATGTAGATTTCCAAGTTGCAAATGGTGAAAGGATTATAATACAATAGACACCATATTAGCACATTGCAAATAGCTTAATCCGCTAAAGTTTTAAAAATCTCATTATTATATAAACTTCATTTAATCTACTTTATTGTATCTACAAACCAGCCAAATCCTATAGAAAATGAAAATTTCACAAAAAAAGCTAAAATACTTACAATTACACCCATAAAAGGTATGAAATAGAATTGTTGCCATACGATGTACCTTCTGATTTCAAATTTTCTGACGGTGCCTGCACCAATACAAGATTAAATAAGCATGATTCAGTAGTTAGTAACTTTAATGAATGTCATGAGATCATGTCATTTAGACGAGGGGTTGAAGTGGAAGGGAAATCAACTAAACTTGCCCAAACGGTTCAAATCGCCAGTTACGATTTGTCAAAATATAAAATCGAAACCAAACCTTCCGAATAACAGCTTTGGTTACCGTTTGACAGTTTCGATTACAGTTTAAAAACCGCCGGTTTCAATTTGAATCACCGGTCTATATATATTCATTTTTAATATTTTTTATTTTCTATTTTTCTAAATTTGAATTGTATTTAAAAATAATTAAGTTTGATATTAATTTTATTCAAATATATTTATTATTTATTTATTATGTAAAAATCATATATATAAATAATTAATTCAATTGTTACATTATAAAAATAATAAATATAGTAAATCATTAAATTAAATTTAAAATAAAAAATTACATAAAAATAAATATAAAAGTATTGATATGATAAAAAATTACAAAATACAAATGGTTGCAGCCGCACGTCGTTCTCCTTTTTTTTCTTTTCGGTCTTCCTGCTCCCTGCTCCCTCTTTCCTCCTTATTTTTCTTCTTCTTCTTCTTTACCTGAACCACCCCCGGTGAGTGGTGAGAGATTAAAAAATAAAAAAATACAAACCGCCGGTTCAAATCGCAAACCGGCAGCTTACGGTCTAAAAAATTCACAAACCGAAACCGAACCGTGGGGATGACAGTTTCGGTTCGGTCTGTGCCGGGTTTCGGTTTGAACCGTAACCATCGGTTCGAAAACCGGTGAACCGGCAGTTCAAACCGACAGTTCGAAACCTGGGCAAGTCTAAAATCAACCTTATTCAATTCTAAATAAAAAACAATCTCTCAACATATATTGGTGATAATTAACCATGAATTGGTCCAACAAATTTACAAAACAATATCTATCATGCAGGAATTTCGTAAATTTAATTAAAATTCCACATTGTTGAGTATATGCCAGTAATCTTCTAAGTAAAAAAACCACGGAGAATAAAATAAATTTTAAACAAACCTTTCGACGAAACTTAACAAAGCAAGTTGAAATATTAAAACTGCAACACCATATTGTGAATAATAGCTTAAATCAAACGGCGCTTAGAGAACATAAAATTTCACTTCCTTCATACATAATTCAAACAATATTTTACAGAGCAACAAATTATTCACAAATCTCTATATACTACTTTCATAATAGGTATGCAATATGTGTTTCTTCAAAAGTTTACTACCAGATGGACACTCTTACAGACCAATGTTTCAAAATATATGTTTTCATGAATTCAAACATAAGTATAACTTTCATCATAAATGGGCCGTTTGAAATAAAACACTACACCATTGGTCTTTGCATGGAAATAACAAACAAAGTGGCATAAAACGATATTTCTAAAAATTCCATAACAAACAAAAGGGCATACATATCATATTACCCTTCTTATGCATGCATCTGGATTATCAATGTCAAGAGGCTAAACAACAACAAACATTCGAAGAGTAACGGAAATTAACCAACTTCATCAATCTCGTCTTATGAGATCAATGTTAAGACTCATGACTACTTACTTGAACTATTAGTAGTACTACTATAGCTCTTTCTTTATTATAAATTGTAAGCATTGCAAAGAGATTAAGGAAATCTTCACCTTCTTCTTCGGTAGATGCCATAGGCAATAGTAGCAGATGAAGTGATGCTCAATATAATAACCACAATCCAGGTGGCATCTCTTTTTGGTTTAACTTTAACTGTATCAAGCCCACTTGGTGGGTTGTGGCTATCAAATAAGGCCGCACTTGATTTGCCAATAGTAGTACCCACTTGGCCCCTGATTTAATTAGTAATACATGTAATTTGAATTATCTATCAATCTAAGATAAGAATGGGAGGAGAAGAGAACATATATATTAAGAGAGAATTGTTAAACCTCCAAAACTTCTCAACGATTTCACCCTTTAGGATATGTTCCTCAACTAATTCAAGAACATCCTTAGCCGTGATGTATCCACACTTGCGTGATTAGAGCAAAAAAATAGTTATTTATGATCAGTCCTTGCAGAATAACATACCACAAATGTATATTTTCATAATTACAAACCATAAACACATATTATGGTGCATCAAATATCTAACATGAATCCATAAAAACTTATACATATATACTGTAATTAAAAATAAACGAAATATTGTCTGTAGAAGGATAATAAAATATAGCAAGCCATAAAATCTTGGTCTCACCAATTGGCAATTGCAAGCAATCTTTTCCTCAAAATTAAGACCGAAAATAATCACATAAGCTGCCTGAATTCTTGTTTCCTCATGTGTGAACAGCCAATCCCCTAAAGATGAAAGCTCTATGCAACTCAAATTCAAGCAAAAACTCAAACTCAAAGTTCTATTGAATCAGTAACCATTACTCCAAGAATATGAACCCAATTTCACTCACAAATGCTGCCAATTCAACATCAAATTTAGAAATGTATTTGAAATCTTTGGGAGCAAAAATTGAAATAAAACAATCTTGCTCAAGATGTCCACTATCAAGATTGTTTTCCATAGAAATGCAAGAAGAATTGGTGCACATAAGGCACAGCCAACAGCATATACCTTAGACCAGTTCTCTTCGTCTACTAAGGGAATAGTGAGTCGCCTTGGAACTGTTAACGGCAAGTGCATGGGAGAACATAGCTTCGAAAATGGAAACAATGGCCGATGTGCTTCCGTATCTTCCTCATTCCATCCCCACAAATTCTTGTCCATGAATGTGTTTGGGATAGTACCAATCATCGCCTTTCTTTTGCAAATTTGTTGAATAACAATCCCAAGAAAACCTTGCATAATTTGTTTTAAAGATAAAAGAAAACCTGACTTTAAATTAGAGAACTTACCCAATTTGATATGCAGTGCACCTATCAAATCCAGTTGAGGTGACCCACGTATCTCCACAAAAGAAGTTTCTACCACCGACAACTATAGCCACCTAGGACAGAATTTAAGGCTGTGTGGGTGGGCAAAATAGATACCCAGAAAGACAAGTAAAGAATCTGAAGTTTGTATTCATACCTCAACTCCAGCAAAACAAGCTAATGAAACTTCTTTTGCAATCAACATTGCCACCTGTGACATGAACGATTACAAAATTAATCAAAGCTTAAAGCTAAGAACATGGAGGAATTTTTTCCAATGATTTCGATGTAGATTCCGAACAAACTTGAGGTGATGAGTTTAGAAATCACAGCTTCGGTAATAATAGTTTTCTATCATACAGGTATTGAGGTTCTTGGTGATCATAATCCAAATTACACAATAAATCAAGGAAGATTCCGCAGACCAAAGGAATGAAATGTTCGAGGGCAGGCCACCTAGTTTACCAAATCACCATTCAAAAGAATTCAAATGTCTTATAAAATATATGCAACAAGCTACAAATTGGATCTTCTGAGTATGAAATCCAACAGAATAGGACTCTCCACAGCCCAATTTTCCCAAAATACCAAATCAAAGAAGTATCTTACTTACAGTGGCACACCATTGGAGGACATTCTGTAAAATGGAAGCGCCATAGGGCTCAGGAAAGAAATCAAAATTATGGAGAGAACCACAATTTTTAAAAGCATTTGCAAGCTCAGTCAAGGAAATGTATTCTATCTCGATATTTAGCAAGCAAAAGGTATATCTGAAAGGAGAAAGTTGTTCTAAAACCTATAGAATCATCTATACAATATCATCAAAGATGCGTAGAGACTATGTTCTTAAGGTAGAATGGTTTCGTCGTATCTTAGGTTGTGCCTTTGAGATTCAGTATAAAACAGAGCATGCATTTCAATTCGACAGGTTAACGAGGAAGATGAAAATACACCTTTGGATCTACATTGTTAGGTGCAGCAGCACTTCCAGCTAGAGCAGCACCGCTAATTTTGAACACCACTCTTCGTCGTCTGAGATTGTTTGATGGCTTCAATTTGGCATTGTTAATTTGAACACTGGTACTGTTGATCGATGTTCCTAGCCTGTCAAAAACAGGTTTCCATTGGAAGGAATGAAGCATCAGATTATACTGTCCAGATTTCGATCATGCTTCTATAAACCACAGCAGTGTTCAAATTTCTGTTTCCCGATCTGGAATTAGGAATCACAGCTTTCAGATGTATGTATACCTTTTGGATTATATAGCGGAATAGGGCGCACCAACGCCGACGGACGACTTCTCCTCCTCCGCAGCAGCTTTAGCGGCAAGAGAATTTCCGACGATCTGCTCCATCTGCTTGAACCACGGCCAATGACTCGCAGCAACGCCGCCGCTGCTCAACCGATGCCTCTCCAATTTATACCGCTTCTTCAAATTATCAACCTTGTTCTTACATTGCTCGACGCTCTTCGTCTGATTCTCGCACCTCTGGCTCACCATCGCCGCCACCTCCTCCCAATCCCTACCTCGCAAATTCCCCCGATTCAACCGCACAAACTTCTCGCTATACGCCTCGAGCAAACATCCGATCGCCGTATCACTCCACTCCTCCAGATCCTTCCTGTAGTCCCCGCTCCCTCCCGACGAAGGCAATCTCGACCTCTTCGGCGTTCCGCTGTGGATTTCATCCCGATCGATGAGGCGCTTTCCGGAAATCGGATTCGGATCGGGCTCGGAATCGAATGGATCGGAGTCGTGGTCGTACGGGTTGATCTGGTAGGGTGGGGTTTGGGTGGCGGAGGCGGTTGGGGGTTGGGCGGGGTTAGGGTTTTGGTGGTCGTCGAGGAGGGAAAAGTCATCGCCACAAGAGGCCATGGACGGCGTCAAGTTGACGGAAACGGAGCGGAGTAGACGGAGGACATGAAAAGAAGGAGCGCCGTTAAGGTGATTGGGTTTTTTGTTTTTTTTTTTAAGGTGATTGGGTTTTTTTTTTTTTCTTTTTTTTTTAAGGTGATTAGAGTTTCGTTTCGCGGATTCTGAAAGCTAACGAGGGGTTACCTTCGTGAACGAGCCCGTCATGTGGGCATGTGGCTTGCGCGTGCCGCCCTATTTCACTTGCACCGGACCGTTTTCATTAACGGAATTTGGGTGTGTTTGGATATTATTTTAAATTTTGTTTTGAAAATATTACGATGAATAAATTCTTGTTTATAAATTTATTACTCTATTTTTAAAAAATATTAACTCACTCTTAAAATGGATTCGAGCATATATCTATTTCAATAATAATTCCAAAATAAAATTTTCAATTTAATTATAAAATTTATAATTTACATTATTTTATTAATATGTAGTAATTCATCTATCTTAATACAATATTTACCATTTTTGTCCGTCTCAAAATAATACTCTTATTTTCATAAATAAACATATAGCTGTAAAATTATTCCTATTTTTTCATTATTATTACATAATTATCACTGCTTTTTATACTAACATAGCAAAAAAATCATTTATCCTTAATTTTTACCAATTACCAATATTATATCAATATTTTTTGAATCTCGTGCCAACAATAAAACTATACTTTTGGGACGGAGGGAGTATTATTTTTTTATGTTTTTTGGGGAGTAAAAGTCATTTTTTGGTCTCATTCAATATCATAATTATCAATTTTGGTCTCATTCAAATAAAAATTATCAATTCTGGTCCCAATTTATTTTAAAAGGTCACAACTTACTGCTTATTTTTTAATAATTTTTTTATATATCCAATTTTAACATTTAATTGTTTTTAAATTTTTATATTCACTTTTTTTTCAACTAATTTTTTAACAAAACTATCAAAAACGAAAAATTATTCGGGCAATATATTAATCCGAATCTATTTCAATCATTCAGATTTTTAAATGCCATTAATTTTATAAATTTGAATAATTTTAATATTTCATAATATAAAAAATTATATAATATTATTATAATTTATGTAAATTAATATTTTAAAAAAATAGTATAATATTACATAATAAATATTCTTTATATATTATTAGATAATAAAAATATATAAAAATACATCATTATGATGAATTTTATAAAATTGTAAAAGTAATAGGTAAAAATAATGATACTATAACGGGTGTTGAAAGAAATAATTTGAATAATAATATATATATGATGTGGAAGAGAGATATAAAAAAAATAATATAGTAAAGACACTCATCGTAACAAATGCTCTTACGCTCTTGTGATATAAGAAAAAGATCAAGAAGGTTCTTTCTGTTTTAAGCAGTAGCTCAATATGAATGAGCTAAACACACAGTACAATATATATATATATATAAATATAATCAAATCTAATATCTATATATCTAATCTAAACTAATCTAAAATAATTATATATTCTGTCATTTAACAATTTATCCATTTTTTTATTTTAGTGTGTTTTCTAATAAAATATTTATTTTTTTTAGAAATTGTATTATCTATTTAATATTACAAATATCCTTTCAATTTACAACATATTACATAAATATTATTATATTTATATTATACAATACTAATAGAGTTAATTTAATCTTTTTATCTTTATTTCTATTCTATCTCAATATAATACTAATATTTCTAAAATTCATACGTGATTAGTGTTACTTTTGGTGATTTTGTCTTTTTTATTTATTATTTTATTTTTATAGGGTGGGTCCCACCGCATAATTACATAAATAAATTTCATTTAAATTTTTTAATAGTTAAACTCTTATCAACTGCTTGATTCACAGATTTGTTTTTGGAATTGAGATTTCTAAAATTTATATGTATAAGATTTATTGCATTTGGAATTTGAAATCTTGTTTGATAGGTAAAATGATATGGTATTTATATTTTTTACATCCGGTTTGTTTTTTCATTTTTTTTTTTTATTTTTTTTTATGTGTGAGTCTAACTTTTATTTTTATTTTTTTTTTTGTTAAATCTTAAAGCAAGCAAACATTCGATTAAAGAAGAAGGTTAATATAGTAAATTGTAAGAGAGAAATCAACAGAAAAAGCAACCGTGCACTTTCCATGTGGTTTCAACCCATGTAGAAGCAGAAACTGCAGCACAATGTGTTTCTCCAGGTGATGAAGCATGCTTGGTCCCTTGGTGAACTTGTCTCGATCAAAGTGCCCATCCTGGAGCCAAGTTAGGGTTAGTTTGTTTGGGGTTTGTATTTTGAATTTGAATAGTTGTATGATGTGATATTAATAGGTGTTGATGTGATGTTTTGAATGTAAAATTGATTTTTAGTATAATATAAAAAATGAAAAATAGGTGTTTGATTTGATGTTTTTGGGGAAAAAAAATTGGATGAATAATATAAATCCAGTCCAATCCTCAAACAAACACACCCTTAGTCAGTTAAAAACAAAACAAAAAAACTACTACTAAGAACATAAAAAAAATGCAAGAGCTGGGGCCACAATAACACAATAATCATTCTGAATCAAGCACAAAAAATATATATATATATATATAATTAAATTAAATTAAAAAATAAACCTAAGTAACTAACAATGTTGAAAAATACACAAGCAGCAATCTTTACCTGCACCATTTTCCCCCACATATCAATTACAAAGTGTTTTTTTTTTTTTTTTCTTTTTTCTAAAGAATTTTTTTTGAAAATTTTTATTACTCTTTTTTTTTTCTTAAAAATATAAAAAAACACACTTATCATTTGTTTTTATAATATATTAAAAAAATATTTTATTTTTAAAATATCATATTAATATTTATTTATATTATATTATACTATTTCAAATTTTTTACTAATTAAATTTTAAATAAAAAATCCAACCAAACATAAGCATGTTTCATGTGTACAACCCGGACCAAACGCGCACAACCGCTGCAACTCTCAAAATAATTTTTTTTTTTCTGTCTACTCAAAACATATAAATATTTTTATTTTGGTATAAAATAACTAGTTCAAAAATATTATTTTACAATATCTCAATTTTATTATTACATAATTATTTTTTATTAAAATAAAAAAAAAAATTATATTTGCGCTACTTTTAATTATTCTTATAATTAAAATAATATTTTTGTTTTTTACTATAATTAATATAATACTAATATTAAAAAATTATATATACAAAATAAATAATACTCTTTTTTATGGGATAAAGTATATTTTTATTAAAAATCATATAAATAAGATATTGATAATTTTAAATTCAAAACAAGCAAAACAAATCTTATTAATACAAATAATAATAAATAAATAAATAAGTAAAAACAATAAAAATAACGTATCATAAAAGTGTTTCATGTTTCCTTATGTCCGTCAGTCGTTGCCCTAAAGTGTAACCAAAGTAAGTTCAAAATTAAGGATGTGTTGCGTTACCATATTTAAATTTATATTTAATCTCTTCCTAATAAATAATTTTATTTATTTAAAAATTTATTATTCATATTTTAATAAATATTAATTAATTTTTCGCTATTTTTACTTATTTATTTTATCATATTTTTATCAATTTTTAATAAAAAAATTTATAATACTCAGGGTATTTTTGTTTTGAGTTGTGTGTATGTGTGTTTTTTTTTTTTTTTTTTTTTTTTTTGAGGGTGTGTTTGCTTGAAGATCTGAATTTTGAGTTGCGATTTTAATAATAGAAGTTTTGAACAATAATAGTTGAATGATATTATATAAATAAGTGTATATCTTAAATATAAAATTGATTTTTATCATAATATAAAAAATAAAAAATACATATTTGATTTGATATTTTTATAAAAAAAAAATTGATGAATAATAAATTTATGAAAAAATTCATAAACGAAACACACTCTAATTAGATACTCTCCTCTTATATCTATCTATCCGTTTGATTTTTGTAGGAGTTTTAAAAATATTAGTATTACATGTATTTAAATTAAGCAAGAATTTATTTGATTGTAATTTAAAATTGTTTTGAAATAAAATACATTTGATTTTAATTCTTATTTAAATAGTATTTTGATATGATATATTTTTAAAAAATAATAAGTAAATTTTTATTAAAAATTATATAAAATAATTAGTGTTATTTTAGTTTAAAAGTTGGCGGCGTAGACCAACGGATACAATATGTTGGCAAGCGCCTCGCCGGAGTAGAGAGACACGCCGCCTTATATATTCCCTTTTTTTATTGATGCTTCTATGTTGATTGATTGTATACAATCATGATCGGTCCAGATGTTACGTTAAATATATTTATATCTATCACAGCAATTAAATGTTAATTTTATCGGGATATGATTAATATCATTTATATTAGAGTTAGAATTAATGAAATTTTCTTATATTTTAAAATCAATATTCATTGATTTCGGGATAATGATACTTAGTTTTTTTTTTTTTTCGATTATATTCTTTTGTTTTAAATTTAATATAATTTTGTTATCAATTTTATCTCATAAGTATTAATGTTATATTATAATAAAATAATAAAACATATTAATATATACACATATTAATACTATATAAACGATATACACTTTATTTATCTTACAAAAAGGTTAATAATCCAACCTAAAATATTATATATTAAAATTAAGATAATTAAACCGTTTAATTAAAATAAAAAGATTATAAATTATAAATTTTAAAATATAGTTAAAGTGTATAATTATATTTTTGAAAAAAAAAATTAATTATATGAAACAAACAAAAAAATAAAAAAGGACAAATTAGATGGACAAATCATTATTTTTTATAATTTGGCTTATTGCTTAACATGTACATTGTTGATATATATTGTATATATATTTAGTTATATATATCCCGGTCTAATATATCTCTTATATATATATATATATATGACATTGTACCATAATTATTATTCAAAAAATTCAATTTATTCCATTTATCTTAACATGGTATCAGAGCCTTGATTTCTCCCCATATAATCCGAAAACAACCAAAACATCGATAGTCTCAGATCCATCTCGAACCGTCACCGCCCCCACCACCAGAAGCGCTGCCGTGAGACGAGCCGACCGCCGGAAGATCAGCCTGAAGGGCGGCGCGTGTGGCCTTAACGTGTGGCCTTCACGCGTCTGACGAAGAATCTCACCGGACGCCTCGTCGGCGTGTGGAGGTGCGTGCAGTAGTGGTCGCCGGAGATTTTTTTTCCGGCGTTCTCGGGATTTAATTTCCTGTCTGATGATATTTTCACTTTTTCGGTTTGAGCAATATTCCGTGATCGTTTAAGTTTATTATTCCGGTTCCGATATGATTTTGTCTATGCTTTTGTTGATTTGTTTTCGGTTTGAGATATGTTCCGATAAATGTTACCTTGTCCGGAGATAATTACAGTCTATGGATACAATAAATAAAAAATTTCTTGATAGACAGAAAGTTATGGCGGATTGTTACGGGCGATATTGTCGCTCCCGTTGCTCATATTTCTACAGGAGACGTTGCGACCTACCACTAAAGCTGTGGAATCATATATTGAGAAATTGGATGATTGAGGCAGTAAGAATAGAATCCGATGGTCCAGGTTCAGTTCACTCCAGATTCAGTTCACCCAATTTGAAACTGCTAGGACAACTTGGGATTTCTTAGCAGTCAGTTTTCGTGCTACTGGTTTGGAACACTATTATCTGCTCTAGAGCACATTCCATAATCTATAACATGAACCAAGACAATTTATTAACTACTTTCTCAAGTGCAACCCATTTGGCATCGGTTAGATCATGTTGAGATCAGTCCTAATCATTTCCGTCTCATTCGGATGGACAAATCATTATTTTTTATAATTTGGCTTACTCCTTAACATGTACATAAAGCCCTTCAAGGAATATTTATTGATCTAAATCAAATAAAATTAAACAAAAATGGATTACGAAGCTGTTAGTATCGCCCTGGCTTTCCTTCTCTGGGCAGCATGGGCAGCGGCGACGGTCCACCAGAGACAGGAGATGCGGCGGCGCAACCTCCCGCCGGGGCCACGGCGGTGGCCGGTGTTTGGGAACATATTCCAGCTGATCGGAAGCGCCTCGGCGCCGCACCAGTCGCTAGCCGAGCTGGCCAAAAAGCACGGCTCAGTTATGACTCTCCAGCTTGGCTCTATGACCACAGTGCTCGTCTCGTCGAGCCAAGCCGCTCGAGCCATGTTCAAGAGCCACGACACTGCGCTAGCCGGACGGAAGATCTTCGAGTCGATGAAGGGCGAGGTCGGCAACGACGGCTCTCTCATAACGGCTCAGTACGGCCCCCGGTGGCGCACGCTGCGGCGGCTCTGCGCCGCCGAGTTTTTCGCAGCCGCGCCAATCGACGCCATGCGGCACGTGAGGGCGGCATGCGTTGACCAGATGGTGGAAAACGTGAAGACAGCGGCGGACGGCGGCGCCGCCGTCGATTTCGGTAGATTGTTTTTTGTGATGGCGTTTAACCTGATCGGAAACCTTGTTTTATCCCGGAATTTGCTGGATTCGGAATCGGAAAGAGGAGCCAAGTTCTTCTACCACGCCGGAAAAACGATGGAGTGGGCAGGGAAGCCCAATTTGGCTGATTTTTGGGGATGTCTGAAATGGCTCGATTTGCAGAGGATCAGAAGAACAACTCAGTTCCACGTGAAACAAGCTTTCGACATCGCCGGAGAGTTTCTCCGGGAAAGAATGGAAGATTCTGGAAGGACCCGAAAGGATTACCTTGACGTGCTGTTGGGGTACCGTGGAGATGTTCTAGAAGGTTCCACCATCAACGTCATCGTCTTCGTGAGTTTCATTTCATTTATATTATATATCTCCGGCGGTGGCGCTGCGGCCGCCGCTGTGAAATTAATTTACTTGTTTAGGGACAAATACATTCAATTGAAATGAAATTTTAATATAATATAAAAATAAAAAATAAGTATTTAAAACCGTAGATTTGTTAACTCGCCGTGCATCCAATTTGGCAGGAAATGTTCACGGCAGGAACGGACACGACGACGAGCACGTTAGAGTGGGCGATGGCGGAGCTCCTTCGTGCGCCGGCGGCACTGGCGAAAGTCCAATCGGAGTTACGATCGGCGATCGGCTCCGGCGAGAAGGTGACGGAAGGCGACCTGGAGAATCTGCCGTATCTAAAAGCAGTGATCAAGGAGACTCTCCGGCTCCACCCGCCGCTGCCATTTCTGGTTCCCCGCCAGGCGATGGAGCCGTGCCAATTTCAGGGGTTCCATATTCCAGCCGGGACTCAGATTCTGGTGAATGTGTGGGCCATAGGGCGGGACCCGGAGACCTGGAAAGATCCCCTGGAATTCCGGCCGGAGAGGTTTCTGGATGCCACGGCGGCGGATTACAAGGGGCAGCATTTCGAGTTCTTGCCGTTCGGGGCGGGGCGGCGGATCTGCCCGGCGGTGCCGCTTGCCGGCCGGATTCTGCCGCTGGCGCTCGGGTCGGTTCTCCACCGGTTCGATTGGCGGCCGGCGGCGAAAATGGATATGAGGGAGAGAATGGGAATTACACTAAGGAAAGCTGTGCCACTAAAAGCTGTACCTTACGCTCTTTTGTAAATTAAGCTAAATTGTCGTTGTCTAGTATGGTACTTTCACCCAAGTAAAACTAATAATGGGAAAATAAATTTAAATTATTTTTTATTTAAAATATTATTATTATTCATGTACTTTATCATATATATATATATATTGATATATTTGTACTTTGTATCAAAATTAAAAATATTTTAGAATTAAGTATGTAAATATTTTTAATATAATAAAAAATTAATACTTTTAAATGGACAAATATAAATAGTAGAAAAATATTTTCAAATCGGTACAAAAATATATATAATTCAGAATAGTTGGAGTATTGATTAAAACTAGCTAATCAACACTTAAAAATTGATGGATAACATATAATTTCAATTAAATGTGTAAAGATAATTAAAATAATATATTAAATACTCTGTTTGTCCCACTAAACGTGTTCATATTATTGCAATAGTTTAAGTAAAATATAATCAGTAAATAATTACAAAGTGGAGCGTATCGCAAATTAGTCCTATAAGTGAAAAATTTTCGTTGTTTTAGTCCTCCGATGCCGGAGATGTCCGCGTGGCTCGCCGGAGGTGACGTGTCCGCCAGGTGTCCAGCTAGGTCAGCGACACCTGGCGGACGTGGATTTATTTTTATTATTTTTATTTTTTTTATTTTTTTAAAAAATTGGACTAAATAAAAAAAATAAAAAAAAATACAAATGAAATTAAAAATAAGTTTTTAAAAAAATTTAAAAAATAAAAAATCCACATGTCCACCAGGTCAGCAACACCTGGCGGACACATCACCTCCGGCGAGCCACGCGGGTGTCTCCGGCGCCGGAGGACTAAAACAGCGAAAAGTTTTCACTTATGGGACTAGTTTGCGACAAGCTCCACTTATGGGACTAAAATAATAAAGGGGTACTAAAAAACAGTTTACCCTATTTATATTATATTAAAATTTGAATAACTTGCTTGAAATATATATATATATTTTTTAAGTGTATAAAAAATTGTGTAGATAATATAAAATTAATATTTTATATTAAATATTAATTTTTTGTGCTATGATAAAATATATGAAGTATTATATATATTTATAATGGTGTTGAAAAAAATAATAATAATATTATAAAAAGACCAAAATTAAAAAATTCTATTACAATTGTTCTTATTCATTCCATAATTTTCTCCAACTTTTTATTAATTATTGAGGTGATGAGCTGCATTGGTGTAACAAAGGTTTGTTTTTTCGTTGAAGTGTAGGTTGATACTAGTTATACTTCTAATTCTTTTTATCTTAGTTATTTTGCAATTTTTTATATTAAAATTGTATATGCTTTTACTTCTTTATTGTTATCTCTCATAAATAAATATATATATATATATATGTGTGTGTAAATTTGTATAATTATATAAATTAATTTACATTGATTACATACAATAATTGTTCAATTACTTATATTATGTTTTTTTTTCTATGTAAAATAAATTCATACTAAATATTAAAGTCTAAGATTTTAAAATATTTAAGATATATAAAATTATTTTTTAATTGAACATATACTCCATCACTTTCATTTATAGTGTTCATATTTCATTTTCAAATGTTACACTAATTTTTTCACTTTTGTTTTTGTTTTTTTTTTTTTTCAAATGAATTGTATAGTCTCATTTAAATTTTTTAATTTATACTTTTTAAAATTTTTAGCTAAACTAATTAGTTATTTTAATTTTAATTTATAATTATTTTATTATACAATAATTATGTTCACTAATACATTTTTAATTATTTACTAGTGAGTATTATATTATAATGAGTGTTTTGTACGTGGGTTTAGAGTTTTGAATAGTAAAATTTTTAATTAATATATATAGATGTTGGTACGATGAAATTATATTATAATGCAATATAAAAAATATAAATATTTAATTTTATTTAATGCATTTTGTGAAAAATGAATATATAAATAATAAATTATATATTCCTTCCGTCCCAAAAGATTTGTCTTGTTTTTCCATTTTCGTTCGTCTCAAAACAATTGTCTTGTTTCCTTATTTAGTAGCCGTGGTCCCCAATTTATAATAAAATTATTCCTAGTTTTCCATACTATCCCTAATTATTACTCTAACATACTCTTAAAAATCCTTCACAAAAAATAAGGACATTTTAGTCATTTACATTCTATTTTATATCAACTTTCAATTAAATACTATTATTCCTTAATTTTTGTGTCAACTCTTAATATAACATTTCTTTTGAGATAGAGGGAGTATATAATTTGGTCGTCCCTACTTATCATACACCTTTGTAATAATTCAACTGATAAATTTAACATAATTTAGATCTTTACATATGATATATATTTATATGAAATCACTTTCAATATAATGAGGTGATGCAAGCTATTCCAACCTTTTGAGCAAGTTACACGTGATTAAAGGAAAGAACAGAAAAAATATGATTAAAGTATATTTAATTATCACTTTTATTATTTATTTATATTTGATAAAATATATTTTATATATTTACAAAAATCATTATTTATGTTCTCCAGCCACGCATGATCGGTATGGAACAACTATCCTGTGAACATGACGTGCGACTAGATAATAAAAATGACAATTTTTACAAATATATATAATAATATATTTTATCAAGCAAAATAAATAAAAAATAAAATTAATGATTTAATATATATATATATATATATATAAAAGATATTTTTCATGATTTTCTCCGTGATTACGCAATCTGAATTAATTATCTGTCTCTTCTCTCTATATATTATTATATTAGTATGGTTCAAACATCAAATTTGAATCCTGTCTCATTTAATTGTTTTTTTAGTAAATTAAAAAGTACTAATATTATGTATCTAAAATATCTTTAAATTTAGTGACTTAACGTTGCGTTTGGTACAGAAAAATAAGACCTGACAAATGAAAATGGTATCATTTTTCTTACTTGTTTGAGTCAGATAAATGAAACTTGAGAAATAAATCATTTACATTTCTCTATTTTCATTTCTCCTGCGCAGAGAATTGGAAATAAATGATGGTGTAGTATATATTTTTAAAAATTTTAAATTTTTTTTCTATTATTTAATTTTTATAATTTTTTTTTAAAATTATATTATTTCAATTTTACAAAAAAAAAAAATAATAATAATAATTTATTGTTAAAGTATTTAATTTTACTGTCTCTTAAGAAATTATAATTTTTTTAAGAAAAAAATCATCAAAAATATATTTTTCATGAATTCTCATATCTTTTTATCCGGTCAATAATTTATTATTGTTTGATCATTCATACAACTGCATTTGTTTTTATATTTCTCAACTAAATTCTCTATTTTACCAAACAAGATAATTAATTATCATTCTCTACTAATTACATTTCTCCTAAATTTCATTCTCTGTACCAAACGCCCCTAAGAGTAAAGCGGACAAAATTAGATATAGTCCGAAAATCCAATTCAATGAAAAAGATTGTTTGAGTCTCCGAAAAAAGACCTAAAATTTTTTAAATTGTACCTAATCGGACACGTTAATGAATCGGGCAATGCCTGAACCTATGACAGTCTTTCATATCTGGCTAAGTCTGGTTTATTAAAATTAATATTATTATATGTGTATTAATTAATAAAATAATGATAAAAATTAAGATATAACTTTAGTTTTTGGCTTCCCTACATTTGATTCTCACTTGTCATTAATTTTTCTATTTATCACATCACTTTTTTTTTTTTTTTTTTTTTTTTTTGTATATATATATCAATTTTTAATAAATTCCTTATAATAATTTTACTTTACTTTTTTGTTTTAAATTAAAATTTTTTATTAAAATATTATTACTATATTTTTAAATTTTTTATGTTCGAGCCAAATAATATAATTATCGAAATAATGAAGTACTATTATTTAAGCCAAATAATTTTAAATGATAAGGGGACAAGGGAAATGGAAGAAATACATAGTTTAACAATACAATTCTAATCAAATTTATTTTAGGGAAAAAAAACAAACTCTTGAGTTATGGCTGCATCAATAATAAAATTAATACTATTGTGTTATATTTATTTTATACAACAATTATTTAATTAAATATATTAATTAATACAGAAAAGTTAAAGTTTCATACTTTAAAGTTTTGATATTATAAAGAAATTTTATTTTATTTTATCTTATTAAAGAGTCAATATTTTGTAGGTCTAGTGAGACATTTCCAGATCTAGGGGTGCATAGGTAGAAAAATTAAAAAGAAAATAAAAATTCAAAGAAAAATTACATCAATTATATTTATCTCATAAAATAATTAAATATCAAATTATTACTATTTTTTTAACTTTTATTTTAATAAATGCACAATCTAGTTAAAAAAAAATAAAAAAATAAAAAATTAAATTTGAAGGTTCAATAAATTTACCAATCCCTAAACTCCAATTTTCCAAACATAGAAGTTTGCATATGTTTATGTAGGAATGACAATGGATAGAGTATAGATCCGATATAGTTAGACCCGAAATTTTACCCGAATGTATATAATTAGATCCAAAACTCTATTCAGATCCCAGATGTATTTAGATTCTAACGGTATAATATAAGTATAAATAGACGTTTGATATAATATTTTGAATATAAAATTGATTTTTAGTATAATATAAAAAATAAAAAAATAAAAATTTTGATTTGATATTTTTTAAAAAAATAATTTTGATAAATAGTTAAAATTTGATTAAATTCAATAAAAGAATACACCAAAGACCCAATTCATACCGATTAAATATCAATGTAACTGAACCCGATTTCAAATAAATGGGTCGAATCCGGATTGCCACCCGGTTCTATATGACCTTGCTATCCTGATGTTTGACCAATAACCTACGATACATTATTCGTACAATCTCACTTGTTAATATATTTATAAAATATTTAATTATAACAAGTCTAGTCGGGTCGGGTCGGGCAGCACAACCCGGAAATTATTATTATTATTATTGTTATTGATACTCTATTCGGATCTATTTTGCCCACGTGGGCTCTTGGAACCGCACCCTCTATATGATTTTTTGGAAGCGCGGGAACGA